TTATCAGATAAATCAAGATGGACAAGAGAAGTTTAAGTTTTGAAGTACATCAGGGATTGGACCTTCAAAATATTTATGACTTAAATCAAGAGTGGAAAGAGAAGAAAAATTTGTAAAGGGTAGTGAAGGAATGTGGTAGAGTCCACAAGCTGACAGATTTAGCTCTACCAAGGAAGGGAGTGTGTTTATCAGCTGCAGCCAATCAAAAGATTTGCTGAGATTTACACCACTCAAGTCAAGATGTTCCAAGTTAGAAAGACTGGAAAGCCACTGGAAATTCTCAACATATAAATTCCCAGTATTAATATAATTGAGACTGAGATCAAGATATTCGAGATTTGAGAGATTTCCAAGTTGGTGGGGAATCATTCCTAAAAATCCAGTTCTAGAAAGTTAAGATATCTAAGATTCTTCATAGAACCAAGAAATTGAGGAATCTGAACTTCTTCAAACTAATTAACACTCAAGTCCAAATAACTCAACTGTTTTAAATCAAGAAAGAAGGATTGATCTTACCAACCAACATCGACCCAAGGTAAGCTTTAGAATTGAATGTTTTGAGAGGATTTCTGAGGTGCAGCTCAAGGACATGGCCTGTGAAGTTGTGACAGACAACACCAGACCATGAACAACAATTTCCATGAACAGTACTCCAAGAGGCAAGCCGGTTCGAAGGATCTTTGAGAACTTGCTTTAACCTTAGAAGTGCATTTCTCTCACTTTCGATGCAACCCTGAAGGTAAGAGCTTGCATAGCAGAAGCTAATAGTAATTGTAGATATGGTAAGTAACTCAAGGAAAAGGAAATTAACAACAATGTTCATAGTTGGTTTCATTGGCTTTGTAATTAGAAAAGAAGGGAAATGTGCATGAGAAAAGTTATCAGTAGCATTCTATTTAATTTAGACCTGGGCACAGACCGGTCCCAACCGGGCTCGGGTCTGGGCCTCATTGGGACTAGTCACTCATGGGCTTGGGATCGGTCCTAGACCCATGGGAAATATCAGGACCGAGACCGGTCCTTAAGATTGGTCCTATGGGCCTGAAAAATTATTTTTCACCCCCCTAATTTTTTTTTTATATTTGGGGCCAAAAATAATTATATAAGGGGGGTTTATGTAATTTTTAGCGGCTTGGAAAATTTTTTCCACACCAAGAGATTAGTAAATTTTTAATTAATTTAAAAAAATAATTAATTAATTAATTTTAAAAAATAATTAATTAATTAATGGTTAATTATAATTAATAATAATTTATAAATATGAGGATTTAAATTTAAACTTTAAAGATATAATTTAATTAATTAATTTTAACATAATGTAATATTCACACAATCATACATTCACACTTCACAAATAAACAATTAAATAATTTTTTTTATTAAATTATTCATCGTCAACAATATTTGCATCATTCAAATCTGTGTTTCTGAAGAGTTCGAGTAGTTCAGGATCTTTAGGGTGCTACTTACTCTTCTCTCTACATGAGTCCAATCTTGTAAACACGTTATCACTTCAATCATCTCATTGGTTAAAGAGCATCTTCTATCTCCAACAATCTAGCCACTTGTTGAGAATGTTGACTCAGATGCAATTGTATAAACTGGCATAGATAAAATGTCACGTGCTATTTTGGCTACAATGGGGAATCGACTTAGATATTCTTTCCACCATTGAAGCACATCCATCTCACGTTTCCATTTGTAGGTAACGATTCAGCTCATTTGATGCATGTATGTACGCATTGGAGCTACTACTTTCGCCGCCATCTTCCATATACGTCCACATGCTTGATTCTTGACAGTTGTGTTCATCAAGGTCCTATTGGTCGTCTTTGCTAGACATTCTAGTTCCATTGTACTTGCTCTGATATAAAGAAAAAAGGCTTTCCAATTTTTGCTTAAAATTAATCAAATAATACGTATAATCATGTCCTAAATGCTGGCCTATCTCAGTAACTATACAATTAACTACGCGTAATTTAAATCTAGGATCTACAACAAGACCTAATCCATATAAGAATGGAATATCTAACTAATATTTCTCGTAATTTTTTTCCATCTTTGAAATAATTTCCATTAAGACGTCATTATATCTATATTTAGCAAAAGTTTTAAAAATTTGAAGTAAAATATCTAACGCTAAATTAGCAGTAGGATAATAAATACCACTTAATGTATTGGTAGATTCATAAAAAACTTTAAGTAATGAATAAAAAAGTTTGCAAACTGCCAATCATCATAGTTGACAACTTCTTGCGGATTCTTCCAGTTGACGAAATCGGTAATTTGTGTTACGTTTGGCAAAGCTTTTTCCAACATCAAGTAGGTGGAGTCCCAATGGATAGGCATGTCTATACATAACTTCAAAGGTCAAACCGGTGGATCCTTTTGCTTACAATATTTAACGTACTACTGCCATCTTTTGTTGTTACCACCGACGATGAATCCAATAGCCGCGCGCATGCTTTCAATCTTTGAATTTATAGCTTCTAAACTTGCTTTAACAATCAAATTGATGATATGGCAAGCACATCTCTGGTGAAAAAAATTGTCTTCACCAAGCAGATCCATATATGCAGATAATGAACTAATGTCTACTTCAATTCTGGATAATATATACAGATATCTCCACCACACATTGAAAGATGATAGGTAAGAATGTGGAATTTTCCAAGAGTAATTAACACGTTTGGAATCAAGTGAAGACTTAAGCTATTATTTTGCTATGAATGCTGGAAAAGTCATATTTTAAAATAAATAAGATGAGAGAGCAAATTTATATTCACAAGGAACTAAAAATTCAACAATCCGATCGCAACATCAACTGCTATGATTTATTATTCTGCATACCTTGATCTGATCGTGATTGAAGTACATAAAATATTGTTGGCTATAGCTTTAAAATAGAAAATAACTAGCAACATTTTCTTACAACAGTGCCAAACTTGTACCAGACGTTATCTAAGAAATGATAATACGCAAACCCACCATACATCCAAGTGCCATGCTTACATAGAACCAGTTCATTACCATCTTTCTTTCCTCTATTCTCGTGATAGTCCGGTGTTGGAACAGTAATAGTACAATTCTTGCTAAGCGGAGCTCTAGAGAGTGAACGTTCATTGCTAGTGAAACAGGATGCATCAAAGCTTTGCAATTGAGTGCTTGCAGGAATTTTTCCACCAAGTTTTTGTTGGACAAGTTCAACTTACTTAGGAATGACAACCTTGAAATGCTCCATGGAAATTCTCCGGAAAGCTGATTTCTAGAAAAAATCAACAGACTCCATTGATCTCATGCCACCAATATTGTTAGGAATTCTTCCTGTAAAAAAATTGTGTCACAAATTCAGTGACTCCCATTCCACAAGACTTGTCACTTCTACAGGAATTTCTCCTGAAAAAATAGTCTAACCCCTCCTTCAAGTTTGATATATCACTTATGGGAAAGAATGATAGAGAAATGCTGGCAGGCAATGCTTGCTTACTTCTTCTTTTCACACAATGTGCTGAGTTTTATATTTTCAATTTTGTATTGTCACTTCACGATAATAATTCTAAGTTCATTAAATTGTAATCTACTCATCCACCCCTGCAGTAGAAAATGTGAATGAGAATATCATTAATTGCAAGAGATCAGCAATGACATTTCACAGTCCAATTTGAATGCTATAAGTTAAATAACTTGTTCAGGAATAGAAAATAGAAATAATATGAACAATGATCATGTAATGGAAAAAGTGGGAAATAATGTAGCAATTTGGAGAAGTAGCAAATTGAAAACTTAATTTGTTGAAAGCCTTAAAGAGGAGAATATATATAAAGCTTTGATTTATAGTGGAATCCAAGTTAATTAATATAATACCTAGCTGATTTTTCTAATTAACGAGCACATATGAGAATGTGATCTCTTAGGAAATTACTTTGTTTTGGGATCCCCTGTTTCCAGCTCTGTTCAAAACAGAGATCGAAAAATTTAGATTGTGATTTTGTTCGTCTTAACTTTTCACAAAGTCTTATGGCGGACCCGAACCCAAGTCGAAAATTTCTTCATTCTCTGACTTGCTTTACATCTCACTGTTTATAACTATAACCTGCTATGTACGGCATGGACACCAAGTAATGAAGACAATATTTATAGCTCTGATTTTTCTAACTTCGTCCTTCCTTTTCAATGTCTCATATATCATTGAACTTTTATTATTGGAGCTTAAAATGTAAGGATTGTAACTTCCAAGATGAATAACAAAGAATGCATTAACAAATGAATCATGGGAATAGATCGGAAGACCTACTCTTGAGAAGGGAGATAAATTGAACAGATTCATTATATTTATTAATTAAGCTCTGTGAATTAACTAGAATCAGGTCATATTAAAGGATATTTAGCAAGTTTCATATTGTTTATAACTGCATAGTATGCTGATGATACAGACTCCCTAAAATGCTTAGTATTACGATTATTAAAATGATTTCACAGGAATTTAATTAAATACAGAATATTGACATAAATCACCTGTAATGCTTGACACTTGTTATAATTTATAACTAGTGTCGTTGACGATGTGTCATCTATACTACAAAGACAGCAACAACTTTTCTTCCATCTTTATTAGAAGAAATTATATATTGACTCTGTAGAGCAACAAGCACATAAAAGAATATATCTCTTACGAAATTACTCTGTTTTGAGATCCCCTGTTCCAAGTTCTGTTAAAAACAGATATTAAATAGAAACTGTTTATGAAAGATCAATTCCGTATAACAAAGTAAAATATGACAGACCTATCAGAATGAAGCCATAATGCACACAATTTACAGTTGATTTCCCTCAGACAAACTAAAATTCCTGAGGCAGATTGGAACAGTTTTACCCAAAAAAAATAAAAAAAAAAAAAAAAAAAATCTAGAACCCTTTTAGAAGCAACAGACTTCGCTTTTTATTGTAACATTTCATATGATCATGATTGTAGTACATAAAACAAAGTACATGTTATAGCTTCAAACAGAAACTAACCCACAACATCGCCTTACAATACTGCAAAATTTGATCCAAAGACTATCTAAGAAATTATAATACATAAACCTCCATCTGCTGCTGACAAGTAATGGACTTATTACAGCCCAGAAACCCAACATAAATCCAAATGCCATGCTTACAAAGAACCAGTCAACTTCATGTACATTGCCATCTTCCCCATCATCGAAGTTTGATGTTGTGACAACCACACTACAATTCTTGGGTAGGGGAGGTCCACAAAGATCATTACCAGTGAAAAAGGACGCATCAAACCCTTGTATTTGAGTACTCAAAGGGATTTTTCCAATTAACTTGTTATTGGAAAAGTTCAAGTGACTCAAGAATGTCAAATTTGAAATGCTTTGTGGGATTTCACCAGAAAGCTGATTTCCAGACAAATCAATAGACTCCAATGATCTCATAATACCGATATTCTCAGGAATTCTACCAGTAAAATAATTATGTGATAGATTCAATGCCTGCAATGCAACAAGGTTTGTAACTTCCACTGGAATCTCTCCAGAGAAATTATTTTTGGAGAGATCTATTATTCTCACCCAATCAAGAATTGTGTTATATTGAACCATTTGACCTTTATTCACAAGTAATGCATCTTCAACATAACCTTGAAAGAGATCTCTGGTTCTGCCATATCGTAGATATGCACTTTCTCCCGAACTGTTTGTGATGGCACTGAAGTTATTGATACATCCGGGTACAATTCCGTGAAAATTGTTATCAGCAATGTCTAAGATTTGTAGCAGAGCTAGATGGCAAAGTTCTCTTGGTAAAAGCCCTTCGAACTTGTTTGATCGAAGATTGAGAATTACCATCTGAGGAAAACTTTCTCCAAACCATGCTGGAACTTTTCCAACAAACGCATTTTCACCAAGATCAAGTGCAACAATCTTCGTACAATTTTTAAGTGGCATAGGCATGGTTCCAAAGAGGTGGTTTTTGCGAAGATGTAGATATTGAAGGGAACTTAAAGATCCAAAGGAGACTGGAATGTTTCCAGTAAATTTATTCTCATTTAAATTCAAAACTGTTAAGTATGGTAAGTTCATCCAACAATTAGGTAATTTTCCATATAAAAGGTTTTTCCTCAGGATGAGAATTTTCATCAAAGACTTTGATGCGTTCATCTCATAACACAGAAAAGGGAAAACTGATCCTGACAAAGCATTGTTGGAAAGATCGAGCACATACAGATTAAGGGGTATAAGAGGCAAAGGACCTGAAAAATTGTTAGAACTCAAGTCAAGAAACTCAAGTTGAATTAACTCTGTTAAATTTGGAATCTGACCGTAGATATGGTTGTGTGAGAGATCTAAATAGACAAATTTGAAAGGAAATTTAAAAAAATATCTTGGGACACTATCAAAAATGCTCGAGTTGGTTACATCTAGATAAGTTAGATGCTTTAGTTTACGAAGCCATGATGGAAATTGAGGTCCTAAAGGAACAGAACTCAAACTTAAATTTTGAAGTTTAAAAGGAGGAACCCATTGAGGACTGAATTTCAACGTTAGAGAGTTTCCAGATGCACCAAATTGCAACAATCTTTTGAGATTGGAAAAATGGATTTCAGAAACAGTTCCGTTGAACATGTTGTAGGAAAGATCAAGACGTTGCAAACACCCAAGTTTTCCTAAAGCTGATGGAATCGGACCAGAAATAGAGTTATGAGGTAACAAAAGAGTATTTAAATTTTTAAACTGTCCAAGTTGGTTGGTCAAATGTCCAAAAAGCCGACTCCCACTCAAATCCAAGTGTTCAAGTACATCTGAAACACACCCAGAGAAAATATCCAGGACTTCAGACAATTCTTGATTCAACTCGACCTCTGAGATAGAGAAGCTCCGTAAGTTGCATAGTCTTCCCAATGATACTGGGATTCCCCCTTCAAATCTATTGTTCGAGAGTTCAAGCTCTTTGATAGAAGTCAAGTTTCCTAGAACATCTATCGTACCTTGCAAGCGATTGAACGTAAGATAAAGTTTCTCAAGACGACTAAGTTTGTACCACCAGTCAGGTAGTGAAGAATTGAAAGAGTTAAAGTTTAAATAAAGATGTCTAATGGAAGTCAAATTCTGAAGTCCATCAGGAATTGGACCTTCAAAATTATTCTTACTTAAATGAAGGATGGCAAGAGAAGAAAGATTTGTAAAGGTTTGTGGAGGGAAGTGATGGAGTTGACAACCTATCAAATTCAATACTACTAAGGAAGGGAGCGTGTTTATTACCTGCAACCAATCAGAGGCTTTGCTGAGATCCACAGTAGTCAAGTCAAGGTGTTTCAACAAAGAAAGACCTGACAACCATTGCAAATTCTCAACATGCAGATCCCCATAACATTCACCAATGATCAAGTAGCGAACCTGGCTGAGATCAAGATATTCCAGATTAGAGAGATTCCCAAGTTCATGCGGAATCCTTCCTTGGAATCCTCCTTCCGAAAGATTAAGGTATCTTAGATTTCTCATAGAACCAAAGAATTTAGGAATCTGAACTCCTTTGGAATCATTGCAGCTTAAGTCCAAGGAAATCAGGTGCTTTAAATTAAGCAAAGAGGGATTAATATTACCGGTCAACTTAGACTTATTGAAAGCTTCACGTTCGGCAACAAGAATATCAGACGGCTCCGGTTCAGTCGAAAAATCATTTCCAAGGTTGAGCTCCAGGACATGGCCTGTCGAGTTGTCACAGACAACACCAGACCATGTACAACAATCTCCATCATCAGCAGTCCAAGAGGCAAGTCGATTAGAAGGATCAATGAGATCTTGCTTGAACCTTAAAAGTGCTTGTCTCTCACTTTCGATGCAACCCAGCTGGTAAGAGCTTCCATTGCAGAAGCTAATGTTGATGGTTGCTATGGCAAGTAACTCAAGGAAAAGAAAAGCAACAACAATACTCATGGTTGGTTTCATTGGCAAATTGTTAGAAGAATGGAAATGTGTGCGCATAAATTGTAAGCAATAACTTGCTATTTATAGCATCCATCATCCAAGGAACTTCTCATGAATGACCAATTTAATTGCTCAACTTATCTTTCACAAGAATAGGATCTTTTATGCATTTCGTGTACGTTAATTGGAGTGAGTTATTACTTGATGCTTGATTGATAATGAACCAAAAGATCTATACATCTCTGCCACAAACTGAACCCTAATAGGTAGAAAATGTGAATGATAATATTATCAACTGCAAGATATCAACAATAGCATATGAGAGTCCAACTCAGAAAGTTGCATATCATTTTCAGTCTTCAATCACTTCTGTTGACTCCAAGTCAGTTAAAGGAGGACAAAATACGAATCAACACTAACTAATGCAGGTATGTTGGCGCGAATTAATAGTTGAAGCTGGATTGATAGAGCACTAGTGGTGACTTCTCATCACACATTTTGGAAAAGATGCAAATACTTCTAATTTTAGTGGTCCAATTAACAGAGTAGACTTCAAGTCAATTAAAGAGGACAAAATATGAAACTTTGATTTAATTAGTCAATAATGGTTACAATAGAAAAGTATCAAAGTTTTAATTGAATTTCTAACCCCTCCTTCAAGTTTAATATATCATTGAAGTGAATGAATGATGGAGAAATGCTGGCAGTACTTGCTTACTTAACCTCTCTATTACGTCTTCTTCTTATCACACTGCTAGCCCAAATCAACAAAAGGTTGATCAATGGCTGAAATCATGGGTGTTAACCAAAATCAAACAAAGATTGATCAATGGCTGAAATTAAGGGTGTTAATTCCTAACTAGAGAGACACAAAATAACCTCAGGCCACAAGACTAGAAGTATATCTTTTGTTTCAAGACAACATCATTCCGTTGATCCATTCTTTTATGTGTTTGCAAAATTATACTTCAAATTACACCTTCAATCGCGCACACACACGAACAGAGTTCCCACATTTATTATAACTCTTCATTTGATAATTGAAGTACATAAACTGACATAGCTTCACAAAAAAATTTTACTAACACTGTCTTACAACGCTATAAAAAATGTAACCAAGGGAGTCCAAGAAATCACAATATATAAACCTCCATCTTCTGATGATTAATAAAGGACCTATAAAACTCCAGAAGCCAACCACAAATCCAAGCTTCATGCTTACATAGAACCAATCCACTTCATCTCCATAATCGTCAATTTCCTCTCCATTTTTGTGGTCAGGTAAAGGTTTTGAAATAGTATCGTCAGTACAATTAGGAAGTGGAGGTCCAAAAGTTTGTTGCCAATATAGTAGGATGCATCAAAGCTTTGAAGTTGAGTGCTAAAAGGAATTCTCCCACTCAAGTTGTTATAAGATAAGTGCAAATGATTCAACATTAACAAACTTGAAATACTCTGTGGGATTTCACCACAAAGCTAGTTTGCAAAGAAATCAATTGAGAATAATGATCCCATAGCACCAATATTCTTAAGAATTCTTCCTATGAGAGAATTCTGTGACAAATTTAAGGACAACAATGCTCCAACATTCTATTTGCGAGTTACCAAAACAAAAATAGCTTATTAATATCCCTTGAGACCCCTAAAATAAAAGAGAATATAGATGATGTCCATCATCTATTCATTTGTAACCGTGGATGATATATCTTCTGTTAAAAATTTAATCAACTCATTTGTAATGTTGGACAACATATAATCTATTAAAAATTTAATGAACAAGAAGTCATCCGTAGAATAAACTTTTTATAACTTGCCATTCTTAATTATTTAAAGTTGTGTAAGTTTTGCTTAGTTTGTAGAGAAATAGTGTCTTAATTCTAAGTTTTATTCATTCTGTTTAGGATCCCTATTTCAATTCCTATTCAAGTTAAGAACTAAAGAGAAAATTTGGTCATCACTATGACCTCCTAGGAAATTACTACAATCTAGGATCCCTTGTTCCAAGCTCTGTTAAAGAGAAACTGTATACGATGCTAAAGAGAAACTATGATTATGCCAGATCAACTCCATATAAAGAAGTAAAATATGAAAGAGCAGTGTTTGATATATCTAAAAAATAAAGGCCTTTTAGAATGAAGCTATAACGCAAACAATTTACCGTTAAATTCCCCTGAGAGAAACTAACATTTGACTTTTACTCCAAAAGAACCCTTTTTCTGGGGCAGAAGCAAAATGACTTCGACATTTATTGTAACACTTCATATAATCATGATTGTAGTAAATTAAACAAAGTACATACATAGCTTCAAACAAAAAACAACCCACAACATTTTCGTACAACACTGCCAGATTTGATCCAAAGGCTATCTAAGATATTATAATACATAAACCTCCATCTTCTGCTGACGAGTAATGGACTTATTAAAGCCCAAAGACCCACATAAACCCACGATAAACCCAAGTGTCATGCTTTCGTAGAACCAGTCCACTTCATGTTCATTACCATCTTTTCCATCATCGTAGATTGATGTTCTTTATAGCATCCATAATCCATGGAACTTCTGGTGAATGACCAATTGCTCCCTTTATCCAGCTCTTCTGGAACAGAAGTCTGAAAAGTAGGACCTCACAATATTTTCCATGTAAATTTGCGGAAAGTCTTACCCTTGATTTAAAAGACATTTCATTAATTAGTACAGGTTACAATAGAAAACTATCAAACCTTAAATTGATTTTTCTAACCCCTCCTTCAAGTTTAATATATCACTTACAGGAAAGAATGATAGCTAGAGAAATGTTGGCTGGCAATGCTTGATTGCTTCTTTTTTTCACAAAATGTGCTGAGTTTTATATTTTTATTTTTGTATTGTCAATTCACAATAATAGTTCTAAGTTCCACAGTTTCTTGTCTTATCTCTAATTAGAAGGTGAATGTGTTTCATACGAAGAGGAATTTAAATATAGTCCAAAGCAAATAACTTGTTAAGGAATAGAAATAATAAGCACAATGACCATGTACGGAAAAAGTGGGAAATAATGTAGTTCCACAGTTTATGTCTTATCTTTAATTAGAAGGTGAACGTGTTTTGAACGAGGAGGAATTTTAAAAATAATCCAAAGCAAATATCGTGTTAATGAATAGAAATAATAATATGTACAATGATCAATGGAAGGTGGCAAATAATGTAGTTCAACAATTTCTTGTCTTATCTCAAATTAGAACGTGAACGTGTTTTGAACGAAGAGAAATATTAAATATAGTCCAAAGCAAATAACTTGTTGAGGAATAGAAATAATAATATACACAATGATCATGTATGGAAAAAGTGGGAAATAATGTAGTTTCACAATTTTTTATCTCTAATTAAAAGGTGAACATGTTTTGAACAAGGGAAGTTTTAAATATAGTCCAAAGATAAAAACTGGTTGATGAACAGAAACGACTGCATATGACCGGGTATCCAATTCAGTTACGGGTACAATGCTGAAAGAATTTTGTGTAATGAAACGACTGCATTTAAGCGGAAGTAAGTCTTTGACAACAAGTTTTTTTCTTTGGGAATAAGGTTATAGTGATTAGTGAAACTGTTTTTATTCATTGTTTACTTTTGAGACTCTAAAGGGAGGAGAATGTATTAAAAAAAACCATTCTGGATTACTCATAAATCTACAGAAGAGAAGATGTTAATTTTTGGCCTTGACGATGGTCTCGATTGGTTCTGAATATATACAATCAACATAACTGCAGGCGATAGAGCTGTGAAGAAGATAAAGTTGCTGGTAGAATCGGAAGGAAAGGAGCAAGGGAGCAGCAATTCTGACGCTGTCAAACAAGGATACAGTTATAGGTTTCAGATGGCATACAGACATCTCTAAAACTATTAGCAACCAATTTAATATTTTGTCGCTAATAGTTACCTTGGCAACGAATTTTGAAATCGTAGCTAAAAGTCTTTTTTGTTGTAGTAAATATATAACGCTACACAACTTGTCATGTATGAAAGAGTAATGAAGTAAAACAAATTTGCATGCACAAAAGGAGTAAACATTGAACAATACTGTCGCCAACATAAACTACTTTTCATAATTATTTAACACTTGATCTGATCGTCATTCAACTACGTAAAACGCTAGCAACTTTTTCTTACTACACTGCGAAACTTGATCCAAAGGTTATCTAAGGAATGATAGTATGTATTTATCCTGTCCTTCTGAAACAACTTATCTACCAGTCCATTTTCGGAAATTATCTGAAACTTGAGTTTGACACATTAATTGAAGAGTCATTAACTGATATGTAGTACATGTCTTTTCAGAGTAATCTATATGTTTGAAGCCATGGCTGGGAAATGAGCACTTTCACCAGGCAGTCCATTTGTTTATTGGTATGTCCTGTCGGAATTTGGGAGTGACAAATCAAACTTGCAGAGCCCAAAAACGTGATGAACTCCGGAGAGAAAACTAAATCTTCTTTTATTAATTTGAATGACTTAAAATACATTGAAAACTTCCCATCTCTTTTATAGTAAGAGACTTCCAATAATAATCCTAATAAAAAACTACTTCATAATTCAACTTAAACTTAAGAAAAGGAAAATACATATTCTCAAACTCTTATTCCTAAAACAAGACTTTAACTAAAATAGCAAATCTTCCAAAACATAGAAGATATCCTAAAACAGGAAATTAACATAAACCAAAACACTTGTTTCAATTTTCCAATCTTGCGCTTGTTTCTTCATTTTCTTCATCACATCGCGTTTGTGCTGTGGCATGGCATGCATTGACCTGTGCTGCGGCATGCGTTGACCTGTGCTGTGGCATGCGTTGACCTATGCCGCAGCATGCTCGTTTCTTTTTTGTGTCTTCAACTTGAGCTATGTTTGCATGCACCAAAATATGTTCATTTTTCAGTATGTCCTTTCTATTTAATACTAGAACTATGCAAGATTGATAGGTAATTTTTTTCCTTAACATAAGTTTTTACGTGAATTTAAATCTTGTTTATTATTGATGGTTAATAAAAAGGAAAAATCAAAATGTTTTAGAAAATCCTAATCTGATTAAGTTCAAACTTCAATAGAACTATTTGAACACCAAGGCAATCTCAGCCTGTATATTTCCAGTCTAGATTTCATGATTTCATAACTTTTTCTTTTTTCCATTCTATGAAATTAGGCCTTTGGGAACTTGACAACCTTTTGATCACAAATGATAAATATATGTTTCTAAGTAATCAAATTAATTGTTTAACAACTTCCTGACAAAAGTTAAGTGAAACTGAACAGTCCCTTTTGAATTAAGCGTCACTATATTTCTTTTTTTGAAAAACTTTAGCATTAATGCTCAAGTACTCTGGTTCAAGTACACAACAAACAAATTCATAAATTTAGCTTATTACAATACGTCATCTAGTTTATGAAATAACATAAAATGACTGAACTTCAAAATTAAAAATCTAGTGACATTTTGTTACAACACTAACAAACTTGTCCCCAAGACGATCCAAGAAATGACAATACATATACCTCCATCTTTTGTTGACAAGTAAAGGACCTATTACACACCAGAAACCCACAACAAACCCAAGTGACATGCTTAACCCGCAACAAACCCAAGTGACATGCTTAGATAGAACCCCTGAACTTCATACTTTGTTAACGTCTTCTTCTTCTTCTGCATTCTTAGAATCAGGTATTGGAACAGTTGCAGTACAGCTCTTTGGAAATGGAGGTCCGCAAAGTTTATTTCCAGTGAAACTGGATGCATCAAATCCTTGTAATTGAGTGCTCAAAGGAATGCTTCCAACTAAGTTGTTATTCGATAAGCTCAAGTGATTCAAATATGTCAACCTCGAAATGTTTTGCAAGATTTCACCAGAAAGTTGATTTATGGAGAAATCAATGCTCTCCACTAATAATATAGCACCAATAATTTCAAGAATTCTTCCACTAAGATAATTGTGTGACGGTTCAGTGACTGCAACGCAGCAAGATTTGTCACTTCCATAGGAATCTCACTTGAGAAATTGTTTTGGGAAAGGTCTATTATTCTTACCAAATTAATAGTTGTGTCATTTTGAACTATTTTCCCTTTCATCACAAGCAATGCATCTTCACAATAATCTATTGCAAAACCACAATAGGATCCTGGATAAGGAGATATTGAATGCAGTTGCCTCCAGAATAGCTCATTGTGACCATGGTTGTAAAGTTATTGATACATCTTGGAATACTTCCAAAGAAATCGTTATCAACCAAATCTAAGATTTGTACAGAAGTTAGACGGCAAAGCTCTATTGGTAAGAAACCATGAAACTTATTTGAACGGAGGTTGAGAATCATCATTTTGGTAAATCTTTCTCCAATCCACATAGAAACATTTCCGAAAAACTTATTGTCACTAATATCAAGGGCAATTAACTCTTTGCAGTTTTGCAATGATGCAGGAATTTCCCCAAAGAGATTATTTCTGCCAAGGTGCAGCGACTGAAGAGAACTTAACATTCCCATTGAGTTGGGAAGGTTTGTTGGTTCAAGGAAGAAAATTTCAGAGTAAAAATGAGAGATTGAAAATGAAGGAGACGGCAAGATTTTAGGGATTTTTCTCTCTGCATTTCATTCATTGAACAGAGCAATGTATATACAAACTTACGTCACTGTTTTACCTACTGCAGTAAAAGTAAAATATTACAAATACACTTTTAGCAAAAAATATGCACCAACCCAAGTCAAGTCTCAACAAAACATGACATAAAGTCTTCACATGAGTGGCCTGATATCTGTTCCATAACCACTGTAGTCTTAACAAAAAAAGAAGCTGAAACTTTGGCTCCAAAAATCAGGTTTGAATATCCAACATAACTTGTCCCATTTCCAATAGGTTATCACCTATATCGTCACGCCTCCTTGATAAGCTTGCTGGAAACACCAAGTCTAAGTCTCAAACTCTCAAACTTGGTTTTAAGTAGACCCTTGGTCATGATATCTGCAAGTTGATCTTCACCCCTACAATGGATTAGTTTCACTTCAGCATTACTTTCAGCTTCTCTCACGGCATGGAACTTGATCTTGATATGCTTTGTCCTACTGTGTAGGATTGGATTTTTTGCCATAGCCACTGCTGATTGATTATCACAGAAAATTTCAGTAGGTTCTTCTTAAATCTGCCTCAAATCCAGCATGATTTTTCTCAACCAAATAGCTTGGTTAACTGTGGCAGCAGCAGAAATGTATTATGCTTCTGCCGTGGACTGAGCTGTTGTGTCTTGCTTCTTGGAATGCCAGCATATGGCCCCTGAGTTCAAGAAGAATACATAACCTGATGTACTCCTCATATCATCAATACATCCAACCCAATCACTGTCATAGTAGCCAACAAGCTGCAATTTTTCAGCCTTTTTTAACCATATTTCAAGCTCAGCACTTCCTTTAATACACCTTAGCACCCTCTTGGCTGCCTTGAGATGAATTTCACTTGGATTGGACATGAACCTAATGAGGACACTCACTGCGAACATTAAATCTAGTCTGGTGGCAATCAAGTACAAAAGGCAGCATATGATGCTTCTATACATTGTTTCATCAACCTTCTCAGCCCCATCATCCTTACTCAGCTTTAAATTCATAGCCAATGGAGTATCCACTGATTTTCATTTGTCCATATTGAATTTATATAGAATTTCAGTTGCATACCTCTTTTGATTGACAAATATCCCATGGTGACTTTGGTGGATTTCCATCCCAAGAAAGTAGGACATCTCCCCTAGATCAGTCATCTCAAATTCTTTATGCATGGCTGATTTGAAATCATTAAGTTTAGTTGAGTTGCTCCCCATGATGAGTAGGTCATCAACATATAGTGAAACTATGGTAGACTCATTTTCCAGCCTCCTAACATATAGAGTGTGCTCATTAGCACTCCTTGCCTAACCCAAACTCATCAAATACTCATTAATTCTGCTGTACCAGGCTCTAGGAGCCTGTTTCAAGCCATATAAGGTATTTCTCAGCAAATACACCTTATGCTCCTGCCCTTCCACTTCATATCCCTCCGGTTGCTCCACAAAAATTTTCTCATTGAGCCAACTATTTAAGAATGCTGGCTTGACATCTAATTGGTAGATTCTCCACTCAAATTGGGTTGCCAATGCAAGAAGAATCATTATAGTATCATGCCTAGCCACTTGTGCAAAGGTATCCGAAAAATCCACACCATATTGTTGAGCAAAACCCTTAACAACTAATCTTGCTTTATGTTTGTACATTGAACCATCATGCCTTAGCTTCCTTTTAAAAATCCATTTTACTTGGATCACTCTCCTGGTTGTTGGTCTGTCAACTAACTCCCATGTTTCATTCTTCTTAATCATGTTTATCTCCTCCTGCATTGCATTCCTCCAAATTTCAGATTTAGCAGCCTCCCTGAAGTTTGCAGGTTCAAGCATGGCTGCATTACATCTCTCATAAACCTCAGCCAAAGACCTTGTTCCCTTGATTGGAAAATCATCATCCAAGTCTGCCTCTTCTGGAATCTCAAATCTGTCCACTGGTGCATCTGCAATCTGCTCTATTTTGTCCATTTCAGCTTCATTTTTCACCCAGTTCTAGGTCCCTTTTTCATCCACCCTCACATCCCTTGTGATGTGTATCTTCTTGGTTACAGGATCATAGATTCTATAGGCTTTGGACTACTCACTGTATCCTATAAAAATTCCTATCAAAGCCTTCTCATCTAGCTTACTTCTTTTAGCTGCTGGGATGAGAGCATAACACACACTCCAAAAAATTTTCATGTTTCTAACTGAGGGCTTCATTCCATACCAAGCTTCATAGGGTGTTTGATTTGTCAAGGCTTTAGTAGGGAGTCTATTAAGCAAATAGACCTCTATATTTACAGCTTCTGCCCAAAATAATTTGGGCAGCCTCTTCTCAGCAACCATGCACCTTGCCATCTCCATTACAGTCCTATTCTTCTTCTCACTAACTTCATTTTGCTGTGGAGTATAAGGACAACTGAACTGGTGAACAATTCCAGCCTCCCTACAGATTTTCTCAAATTCGTTGGAAGTATACGCACTCCCATTATCACTTCTAACAGTTTTTATACATAGGCTTGATTGTTTTTCAACCTGCACTTTAAACCTCTCAAACACCACTGCAACTTCACTCTTTAATTTCAAAAAATACACCCAGCACAACCGGGAATAATCATCAATGAAAAGGATAAAATATTTTCTTCCATTTAGGGATGGTGTTTGCATAGGTCCACACACATCCGTATGGATGAGTTGCAGCCTCTCACTAGCTCTCTAAGCCTTGTTAACAGGGAAGGGTAATCTGCTCATCTTGCCAAGATGACAAGTAGCACAAATGGTTTTGTTTTCAGCAATTTCGGGCAGGTCATAAACCAGCTCTTTGGTTTGAGTTTCCTCAAGACTATGGTAATTTAGGTGGCCTAATCTCTTATGCCATAATTCAATCTCATCTACATTCACAACACATGCTTCTAAATCTGGTTTGTTCAGCCTAATGGGAAAGCTTTTTCCCATCATCCTTACCTTCATCAATTCTTCCCTTCACTGTCCAGGATTGTGCAAAACTAGAAGTGCAGGTCATACTTCCTCTCCATCATTTGTCCAACACTCAAAAGGTTATGACTTAAACTAGGCACATACAAGACATTGGGAATGAGTTTAATACCTGATTTTATTTGCACAGCAATATCTCCTCTCCCTTTCATAGCCACAAATTCCCCATTTCCAACCTTAACCTTGGAATGGTAAGACTTGTACAAATTCACAAAGTCTTCCAGGTTTGTTGTCATGTGATTTGTGCACCCACTATCTATTAGCCAATCATCATTTTGAGCTTGAACAACACTGTATGAGGCCACGAACAACTGCTCTGGATCTTAGTTTGGCTGCTGGTCCTCCATAATTTGTGCTTGCTGTGTTGACTGAGATGGTTTGCTTTTGCATACCTTTTCAATGTGACCATATTGCTTGCATGATCTACACTGAACATTAGGCCTAAACCAGCACCTCTTTTCACTATGCCCCTTCTTCTTGCAGTGAGCACATGGTGGAAATTCTTTCCCTCCAGTCGGTTTATTCCACTGGTTTCCCATTCTCTCCTTTCCTTTCTTTTCTCCCGTAGGTCTCTTGCGTCCACCCTGGCCTAGTTTGCCTTTGAATCCAGCCACCATTGCACCTTCACTAGTGTCCTCTTGCCTCAACAATCTCCTTTATTCTTGAGCTTGCAGGGCATACACCAAATCAGTGAGGGTGATTTGTGTCAAATCCTTAGAATCCTCAAGTGAGGATATCTTAGATTCAAACCTTTCGGGTAGGCTAACAAGAACCTTTTCAACTATCCTTTTATCTATCATCTCCTCTCCCATTAATCTGATTTTGTTTACCACATTCATCAACCTATCCACATACTCTTTTATGGTTTCAAACTCCTACATTTTCAGCATCTCAAACTCCCTCCTCAAGTTTAGCACCTACATACCCTTTGTTGTGCCACTGCCACCTAACTCTTCTTTAAGTTTATCCCATGCTTCCTTGGCTGACTCATATGCCATGATTCTAGTGAACACTTGTTCAATCACTGCTGCATGGATATGGGACAAAGCTCTAGATGATTTGGTGGCTTCTTCGTCATGCAATCTAATCTGGTTCAAGGTGGGGTTTGGCCCTAGTACAGGTGGTTGTCTTTCCTCTTCAACATACTGCCATAATCCGTGTCCTCTCAAGAACGTTTTCATTTTGACAGCCCAAATGTGATATTGATGCCTATTGAAGGTTGGAGGAGATAGAGAAGTTGAGGGTTGTGCCATTGAGTCAATTTGTGTGAAACTTGAAACTGATTTCAGCATAACAGGGGTTGAGAAAGTGGAGAAGAAGAGATGAGGTTATCAGGCCCTCAAGATCAATATTGCTCTGATACCATTTGTTGGTTCAAGGAAGAAAATTTCAGAGTAAAAATGAGAGATTGAAAATGAAGGAGACAGCAAGATTTTAGGGATTTTTCTCTCTGCATTTCATTCATTGAATAGAGCAATGTATATACAAACTTACGTCACTGTTTTACCTACTGCAGTAAAAGTAAAATATTACAAATACACTTTTAGCAAAAAAATATGCACCAACCCAAGTCAAGTCTCAACAAAACATGACATAAAGTCTTCACATGAGTGGCCTGATATCTGCTCCATAACCACTGCAGTCTTAACAAAAAGAGAAGCTGAAACTTTGGCTCCAAAAATCAAGTTTGAATATCCAATAGAACTTGTCCCATTTCCAGCAGGTTATCACCTACATCATCCAGGTTACCATGAAAACTATTGCGACCTAAATTCAAGACCAACAAGTTTTTCCAATTCATCCATTGGGTAATTCTCCAAATAACAAATTGTTCCTAAGGTTAAGTATTTTCATTCCCTTTGTCTCATTCATCCTATAACACACAAAATGGAAAATGGATCCTGAAAAAGCATTGTCAGAAAGATCAACTGCATTCATATAGATGGATACAAGAGGCAATGGTCCGGACAAGTTATTCGCGCTCAAGTCAAATAACCCAAGATGAATAGCTTCAGTTAAATTTGGAACTTCTCCATAGATTTGGTTGTGAGAGAGATTAAAAGAAACAAGGCTGGGAAATGATTTCCAAAACCTATTAGGAATTGTGGATATAATTCCAGAATTGGAAATATCCAGATACATTACTCTTCTGGGAATAAACCCACAGTGGAATTTGAAAACCTACATGACAAGATCTCAATCCTAACTCTTGAAGTTGAAAAGGAGGAACCCAATTCGAACTTACATTCAACATTAGAGAGTTTCCACATATATAAAAAAGTGAAAGTCTTCTAAGATTTGCAAAGTGAATTTCAGAAAGAGCTCCATTCAATTTGTTAAACGAAAGATCTAAAGTTCTCAAGGATGAGAGTTCTCCTAAAGACACTAGAATAGGACCTAAAATCATGTTGTCACTTAGATAAAGATTGATTAAGTTTTTAAATTGCCCAAGTTGATTAGGCAAACAACTAGAAAGTTGACTACTTAGCAAATAAACATCCTCTAATTTGTCTGAAACACATCCTTAAAAAATATCAAAAACTTCTGATATATCTTGACTTAATTTAATATATGATAGAAGAACAAACCTCAACTTGCATAGTCTTCCCAATGATCTTGGAATTTTCCCTTCAAGTTTATTCATTGAGAGATCAAGCCAATTGATGGAAGTCATGTTTCCTATATCTTCAGATATCATACCTTGCAAACTATTGTTGTAAAGACAAAGGTACTCAAGATGAATAAATTTATAAAGCTAGTTGGGTATTGAAGAATTCAAACAGTTGTGAGACAATGAAAGATATCTAAGGGACGTCAGGTTTTGAAGTTCATCAGGAATTGGACCTTGAATATTGTTATAATATAGGTCCAGATGTACTAAATAACTAAGACTAAAACCCCAAGTAGGAATCAAAGAATTATCAAATGGCTTGTTGGAAAGATCAAGGGTGGTGAGAGAAGAAAAATTTACAATATGTAGTGGAGGAGAATGATGAAGCTGACAATATGACAATTATAACACTTCTAAAGATGGAAGTGTGTTTATCATTGGCAGCAAGTCAGGTCCACCCCAGTCAGGTCAAGGTGTTTCAGCAAAGAAAGACTCAATAACCACACAGAATTCTCGACGTATAAGCTGCTCGGATAGTAAGGACGAAGGTCAAGAGAGATTTCCCAGTTGGTGAGGAATCATTCCCACAAATCCGCATAGACTGAGGTTCAGGTATTTCAAATTCCTCATAGAACCAAGAAATTTTGGAAGCTGAGTTGCTTCAAAATAGTTACCACTCAAATCCAAGTAGTTCAAATGCTTCAAATTAAGCAAAGAAGGATTTAACTTACCAACCAACATTGACGATAGAAAAGCATAAGATGAATAGTCATCGTAAGGATTTAGAAGATTGAGCTTATGAACATGGCCTGACAAGTTGTCACAGACAATACCAGCCCACGTACAACAATCTCCATCACCAGTCCAAGACAGAAGTCGCGGGTTCCTGGTATCGTTGAGGTCTTGCTTGAACCTTAGGAGTTAGGAGTGCTTGTCTCTCAATTTCGATGCAGCGAACATAAGAGCTTTCACTGCAAAAGCTAATACTAAAGGTTGATATGGAAAATAACTGAAGAACAAGAATAGCAACAAGACTACTCATGGTCGATTTCAGTAATGGCATGCAGTTTTAGATTGAAATTTTTAAGAAGGAAATGGTGAATGAGAATCTTATCAGTAGCATGGTATTTATAGGGTTATTTATGTGACCACAAAAACATGTTCAATGTCAATGTTCTCTTGCACGTTATCTTAGCTTTTCACAAAGTCTTAAGGTGGACCAGAAACCAAGTTGAAAATTTACAACTCACTGCTTATAAACTGTTACGTACGGCATGGACACCAAGTAATGAGGACAATATTTATAGCTCTGATTTTTCTAAATTCGTCCTTCCTTTTCAAAAATATCATTGAACTTTTATTATTGGAGAGGTTTCGAAAATATGCACCTGTGTATCTCAATCATGGAATTGAGTAGAAAATTGGTAATAACATTTCGGTGGATCACAAATCACAACTTGTAAGAGCATCACTTATGACTTAATTATGATAAATCAATTAGTGATGAAGACTAACACACACTTGCATATTAGCGGACCCTTCAGGTTTCTTTTTCGGTGTCTTTGTCTTTATTGTTTTACTTTTGTGAACATAATGAAAATCCAAAGTCATCTTAATCGTCAAAATGAATTTGTTAATTAAAATATAAGGAGGTTCATCATATTGATTGGTTAAATTTTCCCATGATCTTATATTCATTCCTTCTCTAACAGTTAGAAATTGTGTTTATCCCGTATTGTCAAGTTGATGGGTTGTTCTGGTGTATATATATGATTAGGCTCTCTTCTGTTAAATCAAGTGAGTTTTACGCAAACTTATTTATCACTTAAATCAATTAACACTACCAGTCATGGGTTTGTGGGCAATTTGCACAGTTTTTGTCGTTACTATTCCCATCAATGATATTACCTTAGGTTCTTCTGAAAATTTTGTATATATTGTTACAAATTCTCCCATTAAAAGAATACGTGACAAATCAATGAAAAGATTCCAGAATTCAATGGGTATTCTGGCTTGGCTAACCTGGCAAGATTAAGAGTAAAATAGAAAAGATATATATGTGTATATATAAAAACAAATTTAAACACCTGTCAGTTTCTAAATTTAGCAGAAGTGGACCGAGTCTCATCATTCAATCCGAACTCAATGCGAATTTGGAGAGAGAATCATTAGAGGAAGAAGTTCTCTGTTCTGTTCTGAGCAACCAAAAAAAAAATTGGTTCTTCCGGGGCAGAGGTTTTCGAATGCTCAGAAGATACCAATGCTCAGGTTTTCCGAACCAATTGAATTAGTTGGATGAAAATTCATGAAACCTCTAGTACTTTTTGCACAGTACTAGGCCTATTAATTCAAGATTCAATTTGATGTTTGTTAAATCCTGGGGTGGTGGTGGGATTGAAGAAGTGGATAAAGGATTATAATGGGCTGCTTTTCATGTTGCATTCCACTTGGAAGAGAAGCCAGAAAATCATTAAAAAGGAGCAGCAAGGACCACCGTGACCCCAAAAATTTTGCGAGCTCATTTGCTAATATCTCCTTTAAAACTGGTAAATCCTCTCCGGAATTGTTGAGATGAAAGAAATGTTCTTGTTCGTTGTTTACCTCCATTATTTAGTTCTCTGTTTTCTACGTTATTGGTGTCAGAATTTAATTTCCGTGTCACATAATTTTTTTTTTTTTATTGGAAACAAATTATAGCAATGGACCAGATGTCCACAACAGACGCTCAAAAGGACATAAGTTGTACAATATAGATGTGAATCAACCTATACAAAAACCCCAATATCAAATTAATTGATAACCCCATCCCAATTTACATGAATAAAGAAAAGTAAAAAATCGAGAAAATCGTTCGAGATCGAGACCCAAAGCGATGCTAAGAACCGAATCCTATCCCATAAATTTGCTAACATCTTCACCTAATTTTTTTCGAAGTGTCACATATGAAACCCCATTTTAGTTCTATACATAGAGGATGTCATTTTGTTTTCTTGGACAATACATGGTTTAAATATTCTAAAATTGTTTAGTGAAATGCTGGAAATCTACAATTCTTATCATCTTGTTTTTAGTCTGGACTCTGGAATTGAGGTTCAAGGTTCTGTAGGTCGATTGTTCTTGATGGTTTTTCAAATTTTAGAGCAAAAGTTCTATGAAAAAAGAATTGTTGATGTCATTGTGTAGATATTCTTATGTAGACACAACCGGCTTGTTTTCATATTAAAACCCACACTCAAAAATTCAAAAACTATTAAACCAAAATTTGGAACAAATATTTGCTTGAAATTAGAATATGCCATTCAACAAAAGTTGTGAAGGAAAGTTATTGCAGAAATGAAAGTTTCTTAGAATTACTAAATTGCCAAATTGGAGGCCTAAATGATTGAATTTTGTTGAACATTACATACTTTGCAACTTAGCACCATATTTGTTCATTGAATTGTTTCAGAGTCATTTCTTGCCTTTCTGAAGTAGTCTCAGGTTTACATAATAACTATTATTGGGTCTATGGCAGCTTCATCCTCTTATTTTTCTTTCAAAAACTCCATTATTGGGTATATGGCAGCTTCATGCAATATAGTTGAGGCCACTTATTGGACTCTAAATTTGAACATATTTGTTATGCAGATAGCAGCAGGCACAGATACATAAACGAAGAAATAAGCAGAATCGGTAAAGGGAATATTACTGCAAAGATCTTTTCCTACAGAGAGCTATGTGCCGCAACAACAAACTTCACCCCCGAAAATCTGCTGGGCGAAGGAGGCTTTGGGAGGGTATACAGAGGGAAGCTTGAAAATCAAGTAATATTACTATGCATCTCTTAGCCTCCTTTGATTAATCTTTTTGGGCCGAGTTAAAAATTCTATGTGTTGTTTTGTTCATGGCACGCAGCTTGTTGCTGTTAAGCAACTTGACAGGAATGGATTTCAAGGAAACAGAGAATTTCTTGTAGAGGTTTTGATGTTAAGCCTACTTAGTCATCCGAACCTTGTGAATTTGGTTGGATACTGTGCTGATGGTGACCAAAGAATTTTAGTTTATGAGTACATGGCCGGTGGCTCCTTGGAGGACCACCTTCTCGGTATATCCCAAAATCCACTTCATAATACTGCATTGCATTATATTTAAGTTTAATTTCTGTTTGGTGAATCTTTGCTTCGCAGATTTAGCTCCAGGCAGAAATCCTTTAGATTGGACAACCAGGATGAAAATTGCCGAAGGTGCAGCAAGAGGGCTTGAATATTTGCACGAAACAGCCAATCCCCCAGTGATATACCGCGATTTTAAAGCATCAAATGTACTGTTAGATAAGGACTTTAATCCAAAACTCTCCGATTTCGGCCTAGCAAAACTAGGTCCAACTGGGGATAAAACTCATGTCTCCACTAGAGTAATGGGCACCTATGGATATTGTGCACCTGAATATGCATTAACAGGACAATTGACGAGCAAATCCGATGTTTACAGCTTTGGAGTCGTATTTTTAGAGTTAATCACAGGGAGGAGAGTCATTGACAATTCAAGACCAACAGAAGAACAGAATTTAGTTGCTTGGGTAAGTTCAAAAAGCTCCATTCTTCCAAATAAATTGATTGCTAGTCTTAATCCTAAGTTAAAGTGAATATATCCATTAATTTTGCAGGCAACACCATTATTCAGAGACAGAAGGAAGTTCACATTAATGGCTGATCCATTGCTAGAAGGAAATTACCCCTTAAAGGGTCTATACCAAGCACTTGCAGTGGCAGCCATGTGTCTTCAGGAAGAAGCCACAACACGACCATTGATGAGTGATGTGGTGACAGCTCTGGAATATTTAGCTAACAAAAAAAAGGAGGAAGAAGACAGTAGTCATTCTGGTTATGGATATCCTGAAAGACATAGTATTGAAGACACAGAAAGCAGTAGGCATAATGGTGTTGAGGGGTAGCAATTGAAGGAGAAAGAAAAAAAAAAAGCATTGCATTTTGAGCTTGTAACTGAGTACTGTTTCATGGAGTTATTTCATGTTTGTGCTAAGTTGTTGTTGTAGTAGTATGTTATTGTAAAGAAAACCCCATTACCATTAATCAAAACAAATATATTTAGTTCCTTTCTGGTTTGTTTTTGGTGCTTTTGAAGATATCTCATTCAATGTACTTCACAATGCTTTAGGTAATTCAAGATAACAGAGCCTAACATACAGACTACAGTCATACTCTCGTAATCCATCCAAATTTAAATGGGTATGTACATACCTCAGCCCGGGGAAAAGGCCCAGATTTTTAATACCAGGGCTTGGCCGAGGTCCTGCCCGGGCCTAGCCCAAAGTCAATTAATTTTAAATAAATTTTAGTTTTTTTTTTAAATTAACCTTTTGTCTTATCATTTTTAACTTCTTTATTTTTTTAATTTTTTAATTATTTTCTTTCTTAATCTTATTAACTTCTCGTTTATTTAATCATGATTAATAAACAACAAATTTGTTCAAAAATCAAACCCTTCTTGAATTTTTTTTTCCTTCTTTTAATTTTTTTATTATTTGGAAGTGAAGGAAATTTTACTCTAATATACTTGTGATTTGAAAAGGTTATGAAAACCATAAAAACAAACAAAACAAAGGCCCGAAAAAAAAAAAAGCGCAAAATCATGACAAGAAATATTTTTTCAAATCTTCTTTTGTTTTTGTTTTTTAAATGGATTTTCCATAATTGATTCTAACTCATGAGTTTTTAAGAATTATGAAATTAGATAAATTAAAAAGATTAAAAAAATTAGAAAAAAGGTAATTTTGGAATAAAATTAAATTTATTTATTGCTAATTAATTTTGGAACTTAAGAAGAGTTTGGGTGAGACTCAAATAACACCACTCTTTAGGTAATTACCTGTAATTTTGTTCTTATAATATCTCGGAGGCCTGTCTTCCAAGTTTGAGCATAAATTATGACGGGTTCAGACACTCTAGTTTTTTTCATCCCTAAACATTAAACCTAACAATTTGGACCGTACCTACGAGTAGACCTATACCCATTAAAATAAGGGAGATCAACATTTTCCCACGCAAGATTTGGTGAAACGACACTTTCCCACCCATCAAGTTTCAAAATGACACTTTCTCACCCTTTGTCAGGTTCGATTAGTATTTTCTGTTAATATTTGATTAAAAGACAAAAATACCCTTAAATAGTTTATTATAAATTAAAATTTAGTTAAGTAACAGCCTTTACTCAAGTAGTAAAGCGTAAAGATACATTTTTTCTTTTCTTTATTTAATTAATTAGGAATATTAACTATTAAGATTTTCTATGTTAATTAGTAAAAATGAAAAACATTATATTAGTAGATTATTGAATAATAGTGATGAGATATTTATGACATTATAAATAAATAAATATTAAGGTTATTTAATTTTAAACAATTTCATAATATTACTCTTAACTTTTTAGTTGAAGTTAAATATTTTTTTTTTTGACTTTTTAATATCTTACTTTTTGGCTAATTCAAAAAAAAAATTATAAAGTCAAATATTTAAAGGTATTTTTGTTTTTTTAATCAAATATTAACAGAAACACATGGCAGATTTTGATGAATGATGGAAAAGTGTCATTTTGAAACTTGACGGAAAAATTCTTTTGCCAAACCTGAGTGGGAAAATGTTGTTCTCCCTTAAAATAATATTAGATACAGGTCTATTATTTTGGACCCTTTTTTTGACACATACCTAGACCAGATACGGGTGGGCCAGGTATACCCTCGAATACCTGTGAAACAAAAAAATAAATAAATAAATAAATAAAAAAAGTATACCTATATGAACTTAAAGATAATGTCATATTTGTAATTTTTCCTTCCTTGGAGCCTAAATTTTAACCAAAATCATGAGTTTTTCTTGGCTGAAAATTTATTTGTATTTTTTAATTTTTTTATTAAAGTAAAAATACACTTCAAGGTTAATTACCTGAAAAAAAAAATATATTTCAGAGGACTAACAATAATTAAGCAAATTTAAGAGGAAAGAAACAATAATTAAGGAAATTATATAATTTTACAGCCACATAAATGCATATAAAATTTCCCTTGAGCTCCCGAATTAATTAATTATTTAAAAATAAATGATAAAGACAAGGATATAGACAAATATTTGGCAGCTAACCCAACCCATTTCTTTTCTTCAAATAAATAAATAAATTATTAAAAAAAAAAAAAAAAAAAAACAGCGCAAACTCAGGAAAGGGTTTCATTCAGCTTCCCTCGCGCTTCAACTCTCTTTCTCTCACTTGATGATGGCCACACTCTGTTTCTTCTGCTTTTCAGCTCCAGACTCGCAAACAGACACTATCACCGCACTCTCTTAACACCAACCTCAAAACCCTTTTTTTTACGTTTTTGCCTCTTAAACCCTTCAAAACGGCTCTTTCAACCTCTAACTTTACCCACAAGCTGCTGCTGCTAAGCAGACCACGAGTTGCTGACCTTAGAATGGTCATGGCGGCCGCCTACACCGCCCCCTCTCAAGGGGCTGTTTGCCCCTTTTCTCTTTCTTCTCGTTTCGTCGCTTTTGCTCCCTCTAAAGCCCTGAAACGGTTCACCTTTCTCTCCCTGTTTTAATGTACTTTTGGGTTTATGGCTTTTTCTTTCTGGGTTTTATGTGTTCTTTCATTCCCACATTTTGTATTTTTAGATTTTTTTTTAGCTGTTTGTATAATACTTAATATTGTTGTTTTTTTTTTTTTTTAAATACTTAAGACTCAAGCCTCAATATTAAGTATTGTATAGAACATTTTTTTCAGTGATTATGCAGTTTTTTCTGCATGGGAAATTTATATTATTCGTCCCAGTTGTTTGTTGCTGTGTTTTTGTGGATTTTTGTTCTTTTAAATGCGATATTTGACTGTTTATATAATGCTTACCTATATTTCGTGGGTTTATATGGAGGTGTTTTTTGGTTAAACACTTCTTGAGGTTTGAGTCTTAGAAAACTTCTTTGTGATTATGAAATTTTGCTATCTGGTAATTTCAGATTCTTTGATACAGTTGTTTATGGGTGTGTTGTGTAGTTTTTTTAATGGGTGATTTTTTCTCTCTCTTGTGATAAGTTAATATGAAGCTTTTGGAATTTATTCATATTTGTCACTTTTGTCTTCATTATTTTTATTCTTTATTTGAAGTTACTCTGCTCTCTGCAGAGTTTGCAAATGCAGCTTGTAGTTAGTACAAGTTTAGAATTTAAAAAATTAATGCTTGATTTTATTATATGTATATGAAGTTAGACTTGTATGCTCTAATGGTCACACAACCAATGGATAAAACAGGGAAAAAGGAAATGAAAAAATTATAGGAAATAAAAATTATTGAAAGATGTAATTTGAACAAGTTTTCAACGTTCAGTTAGATTCAAGCTATATATCCATGAGTAAAGTTCTTAAGGTTGAGGCCCTCTAATTCTTTTAATAATTAGCTTAATTTGGAACACTATAGAAATGCGCAGAATTATATAACAGGTTAATTATTATTGCAAAGAATAAATGTGTTTGGTATCTGTAAGTAATGTTAAATAAGCTTTATTTTAGGGTTTATTTAAACTGTAATTTGTCTCTTCTCCTGAAGTATATGTCTTGCATGGTGCCCTCTATCGTTTTTTTTCTGTTGTATTGAATATATATTATGTAATGACTGAATACAAATCAAATGGCACATGTAAGTATTGGATGTTTAGGTCTTCTTGAAGATGATGTTGAAAGGCAAAATTTAGTGAGATCAAGGGAATTAATTGAAATTAAGGATCTATGATATGTTATCTATCATATAATATGCTTACTGTTTGTCAGGAGTTATTTGAGCAATGCATTCCATGCAAAATTCTTATTGACGTTTTGGATATTTATACTGTTCACCCTTCTGTCTTACATTGCATGCAACACAAGATTTAGTATCAGCTGGTTGTACCTTTTTGTTTTATTTATTGTTTGCTTTGATATAAATTGCAGGAGAGAGTTTTGTATAATTCAGAGTGCCTATGGTACCTCTCCCAAAATTACAATGTCAAGTATTTACCCTCGGTTTTATCATTCCTTCTACCATGGCAGGACATCTTCTGTGGGAAAATTGTATTATAAACTTATGACAGATTCTTCACCAGCTAAGATGATCCCATACTATCGAGATCAGAATAGTTTTGAAGGAAAACCCTCAAAAGAAATTTTTAACCGGCAAAAAGTAGATAAAAGAAGAGAACAAGTTTCTAGAAATTGTAGCAGTACATCAGTTCAGGAGGTTGGACATAACAGTCCTCACAGACCTCATATTTCCTCCACTGCAACTGTTCCTGAAAAAAATATGCCCAGCACTCTGAAGTGGGATGAAGAAATAGAAAGACTTCAGAAGACTAAAGCAGAAGTGTATGCCCGAATTTTGCCAGAAGGCAGATTATATTTTCAAGAAATCATGGGTTCTAGGCAAATTACTTCCCAGAATTATAAGGTGCTGGATAAACCCGGTGTTGAGGAACTACCAGATACTGAAAATGTTGCAGCAAATGATTTAAATTCTAAAAATCTTGCTGTATCTAAGCCAGCTCTTACTGAACCAAACGGTACTGGCAATAGAAATAAAGCTCTAGACCTTGTAAATCTTCAGACACCTGATGATTCAACAAAAGAGAGCTCGGATTCAAAAGGCCCCTTAACCAAGGAGACTAAAGCAAAACAGCAAGATCTTCGCCATAGACTTACTAGCATCTATAAAAATGTTGTGGTTGTTGATAATATATCTGCTGCAAAGAAAGTTGTTAAAATGCTTACTCAACAATATAGGCACCTTGTTCATGCATGTGATACTGAAGTAAGTATTGGTTGCATTCGTTTTATGGTTTTCTGATTTGAAATGCAGTAGTGAAGCATTTTACTTAAGTTACATTCTCTAGATGCATGCATTTATAAATCTAATGTTTGCATATTACAGGTGGCCAAGATTGATGTGAAGCAAGAGACACCTGTTGATCATGGAGAGGTTATATGCTTCAGTATTTATTCTGGACCACAGGCAGATTTTGGAGATGGGAAGTCCTGCCTCTGGATAGATGTTCTTGATGGTGGCAGGGATCTTTTGATTGAATTTGCTCCATTTTTCGAGGATCCGTCCATCAAAAAGGTGAACTCACTCTCCCCCTGCTGCTTTTATTTCCTGTTTGTTGTCCTCATGATTTGCCCACCTTTTGATTAGCATGACTATCATCTGGTTAGCAATGTCCATAAATGGCTTGTGGTAATGTCTTAGATTACTTTTACCTGTCATTTAGCTTTTGGTGCTGGGTTCTGCAACTGGAGTTGTATCAGGTTGCTATATTTGTGAAAATTCCTGGCTATTAAATTTGCTCCTCTTGTTTATTTTCTTATATTTGCAAAAGTTATAGTCGGCTAATTTTTAGTTTTATTTGTCTGTCTGTGGTGCAGTGATGGGTTGAACGTATTTACTAATTATTTGCTCTTAAAGTCTTTTGTTCTTTGCCTGTATGTGCTGAAAAGGCATTATTGTTCATGGACTTGTTGAAGATCTTGAATTTCAAATCCTCCCACCCTTCTAGATGGCTTTTGATATGAGACAAACCCAAAGTGATGCCATAAGTTTATTAAAGATTGAAATACTGTACTTCTAATTACATACTTATTGAAACTTTGTTCTCTATGTCTTTTTCTTGTACTAATTGTCTCAGTATCAACTTACAGATGAACGATCCAATTTCCACTATTGATTTGAAAATTTGACTGTTTTGCCCCATATGTTTTTACTTAGACAATGGGAGAAACTATGTTGTCTGGATTTTTCAGGCACAATCTTCAACTGACAAAATTGCCTTAATTTTCTTCAGGTTTGGCACAACTATAGCTTTGATAACCATGTCATTGAGAACTATGGGTTGAAGGTTTCAGGTTTTCACGCTGACACAATGCATATGGCTCGATTATGGAATTCATCAAGAAGAACAGAGGGTGGATACAGTCTTGAAGCACTTACAGGTGATCAAAAAGTCATGTCTGAAGTTACATCATGCCAGGAAAAGGATTTGTTTGGTAAAGTATCAATGAAAACAATCTTTGGCAGGAGAAAGGTGAAAAAGGATGGATCTGAAGGCAAAATGATCACGCTCCCTCCCGTTGAAGAACTTCAGAGAGAAGAACGGAAATCATGGATTTGTTATTCTGCCTTAGATGCAATAAGCACTCTAAAGCTTTATGAGAGCTTGCAGAACAAACTGTCGAAGATGTACTGGAAACTTGATGGGAAACTTGTACAAGGAGAAACCATGTTTGACTTCTATCAGAAATACTGGCAACCATTTGGTGAGATTCTGATTAAAATGGAAACCGAAGGTATGTTGGTTGATAGACCATATCTTGCTGAGATTGAGAAGGTAGCGAAGGCAGAGCAAGAGGATGCTGTTAACAGATTTCGAAATTGGGCAATTAAGTATTGTCCTGATGCCAAGTATATGAATGTGGGAAGTGATGCACAACTGCGCCAACTCTTATTTGGTGGCACCGAAAACTGGTAAAAATCAAATATCTCCTGTGTAGTTACATGGGAACATCCGTTTCAACTTCTTTTTTAGTGTGTAATGAAAGGCTTAAATGCTTTTCATGATGATAATCTCTCTCTCTTTGTTTTTTTTTTTTTTTTTTTGGGGATGTGAAATTAAAAAAGAAAAAAAGTGATGTTACATGACTTAAATGCCAGAGCAATGTCAAGTGAAAATTTGCAGCTTTCTGATATTGTCATCCTAATCTAGTTGGGCCTTGGGAAGCTCCAGGTAACTAACTTGTTTCTTTCTTCTATAGTAATGATCCCTGCGAGAGTCTTCCACACGAGAGAATTTTCAAAATTCCTAACACTGAAAAAATAATTGAAGAAGGCAAGAAAGCTCCAACAAAATTTCGAAATATCAAGCTCCATAGCATTGGTGTTAAATTGCCCACGGAGATGTATACAGCCACTGGTTGGCCTTCAGTTAGTGGTGACGCTTTGAAGACCTTAGCTGGGAACATTTCGGCACAATATGATTTTGTGGATGAGTCTAATGACTTGCTCTTAGATGATAATGCTGAAAATGCTGCAGAGACAGGAGCGGATGAAGAATCAGAAGCAATCAAGACACTTGCACAAGAAAAAACTTTTGCTACAGAGGAAGAGGCAAGGGATGCTTGCCATGCCATTGCTTCTTTGTGTGAAGTTTGCTCTATTGACTCATTGATATCCAACTTCATCCTCCCCTTGCAGGTGAATGCTGTGGCCTTGTTTTATTGATGATGCTTGTTGATCGTCATTTTTGCTTCAATATAGAACTTGCATGGTAGAAATTTTACCATGTGCCCCATGCTAGTTTTATGTCTCCGGCTATACTTCAATATTCTATCAGTTCTTTGCCTATCTACAATTAATCATAAAGGAAATGATGGAAGCCTTAAAACCTTAATAAGGAGTCATTTTGTCACATGATGCATATTTACTTTGCAGCATTTTGTGTTACATACTGCGACCGATTTATAACATATCATGGATTTCTTATAGGTTTTCTATTGGTTGCACTAGGAGTTACTATTAGTGCCACCATTCTATTGTGAATCTCATCTTTTTCATATGCTTCGTATCCATCTTCCATCATTCTCAATTCTTTTGTGGTTAGCATACTCAATGTATTTCTAATGGTCTTATGAATTATAAGATTTGGTCTACTATCACATATTCTTAGTTTAAGTTTATTTTCATTTTGTCCTTCTCTAGATAGGATCTATGAAGTATAAGATGTGGTCTAGCACTGTACATACTTAGTTTGGCTGAAATAAAACCCTTTAATTTGGATCATTTAGCTGGATCTGGAGAAGGAGAAAACATGCAACCTTTAGAGGCAATCCTCTCTGTCCACAAGATTGACTCTATTTAAACATCAATATGTTGTTGTTTTTTCCCTGCTTTAGAATAGCATTTCTTGGTTCTTCCTTCAGCTTTGCATCATCAAGTTCATAAGATACTTTCTAATGCTATTGTATTTTTCTATCACAGGGCAGTAATGTATCTGGCAAGAATGGGCGAGTACATTGTTCACTAAATATCAACACAGAAACGGGGCGCTTGTCAGCTAGGAGGCCAAATTTGCAGGTTAATTTTTCTTGGTCATTTGTAAAAGCAATATCTCAATAAATATGATCATTTCTTGAAAATAAGAACTTTAGTACAAAAGAAATTGAGTAGCATCAACTTTGTTGGTGGTGACAGTCACTTTTGGTCCACAGCTTTGAATGAAAACGGGACCTTAATGGTCAAGCAAGTATATTCGCAGCTTTGCTTCTTAGATAATTAAAGCCCCCTGGAGACTTATTGATAGGAAAGCTTTGTAATCAAGTGCATAAGATAATGTCAAAATTTTATGAGACTTGAGTGATTGAAATTTTCAATTCCATAAGTGCCTTTGCTATCTTGTTGAAGTTATCCATCTGGGATCCACAGTGTGAGGAGGTCTGATGGGTCTGAGTGTAGTATGGATTGAATTTTTCAGTATTTATATTTTATGATATTAGAAGCCAATAATATGAGGAAAAGTTATCATTTTTTTTTTCTCTCTCTTTTACCAAATGGAATAGAAATTATTGATTGTTAATTTTCTTCATTTTTGTATATCAGAATCAGCCTGCTCTGGAGAAGGACCGCTATAAGATCCGTCAAGCATTCATAGCTGCACCTGGAAACTCTCTTATCGTTGCTGATTATGGGCAGGTAAGTTGATTAAATTATGTCGCTGTTTCATTGAAGTTTCTGTTGTTGAAATTGTTTTTCATGTAACAGCTGGAACTTCGAATTCTTGCGCATCTTGCTAATTGTGAGAGCATGTTGGATGCCTTTGAAGCTGGTGGAGATTTCCATTCAAGAACTGCGATGAATATGTACCAACATATCCGTAATGCCGTTGAAACGAAGCAAGTGCTTCTTGAGTGGCATCCTCAACCTGGTGAAGATAAACCCCCAGTCCCATTATTAAAGGTAGACTTGATTATATGTGATGTTGTAGTGATTATACATTTCAAATGATGGAACCAGAATCAGTGTTGTCATGCAGCTAACATTTGATTTCACTAGTTTTTATTTATATGATTCTTTTTAATTAATATTTTAATGAACTACCACACCATTTCCTTTTTCCTTTGTGGAGAAGAGGATTGACCCAAAAGGATCAATTGGTGAGATAAAATAAAATCTTAGCATCAGAATGTGCTATGTAAGGCTTTCTCAAAAATATGGCATGTGTTGTTAGTACAATGATTTTGGACAACAATGAGAAAGTACATTTGCATTGGTAATAGCTTATAAAGAAAAAGTATAAAAAGGAACTGAAATTTGCTTAAAAGATAAATTGGCTACGTACCAAAAAAAAAAAATTATAAAAAAAGATTAATTCGCTAGGTAGTTCAGATATTAGTGAATTAGAGGGAGAGATAGACAGTGAGAGATTCATTATATATTCTTGTTCAGTTTCTATCGTGATTAGCTTATCTTTGGTAATTTGATGAGTATGCATCAGCATCATCGATTCAGGCGTGATAATATCTTTTTGTAACGTAGGAATTAATTTTTCTTTGATTTTTATGGTTTGACAGTTGGACTTTTCTCTCTTTATTTTCTTATCTCGGCCTTCTTAATCCTTTTATGTTTAAATGTGCTAAAGAACATTATAGTTAATATCGAAATCTGTGTAACCATTATTTTGCCAAGAAAGTAGTAAAAATACTTGATAATAGTTGTTGATTCCATCTGAAATTGTGAACTTACATCTCAGGATGCCTTTGGTTCTGAAAGAAGAAAAGCAAAAATGCTTAACTTTTCCATTGCATACGGAAAAACTCCATTGGGCCTTGCTCGGGATTGGAAGGTATGCTTGTCTGTTTGACCCAAATTAGTGGTTCTTCTTGATTTGAATTGAATAAGTTAATCCAAAGACATGATGGCTGCCATCTTTATACCCAGGTTTCTGTTGAGGAAGCTCGGGAAACAGTTGATCTCTGGTATAGTGACAGAAAAGAAGTGCTCAAATGGCAAGAGGCTCGTAAAAAAGAAGCCCGTAAAGATGGATGTGTTTATACATTGCTAGGACGGGCTCGCCATTTCCCATCATTTAAATCTATTACACGTTCACAAAGAAATCATATTGAACGGGCTGCTATTAATACACCAGTCCAGGTTCTCTCTTTTTGTCCCTGCACTTAAAGTTCCTCTCTCTCTCTCTCTCTCTCTCTCTCCCCCCCCCTCTCTCTCTCATAACTTTATTCATTTCCACAGGGTAGTGCTGCTGATGTTGCCATGTGTGCCATGTTAGAAATATCAAAGAATGCACAGTTGAAAGAGCTTGGATGGAAGCTGCTTTTACAGGTTTAATCCATGTCCTTGTTTTGTTTCTTTTCTTTCTCTGTGATTGCGACTTGGTGTTTTGTTCTATAAGTATTATGATTCTGAGATTTAGTGGCATCCAATTATATGTGGACCTCCAGACTCAATACTAGTTGATTTCCAGTTCTTGCGGAATAGATTTCATGTGGAAATTTTATCCAATGGTCTAAATGTTGGAAACTGATTACTGTTGAGCAGGTTCATGATGAAGTAATCTTAGAAGGTCCAAGTGAATCGGCTGAAGTTGCCAAGGCCATAGTTGTCGAGTGCATGTCGAAACCCTTCAATGGGAAGAATATTCTTAGAGTTGATCTGAACGTCGACGCTAAGTGTGCTCAAAACTGGTACTCTGCCAAATAGATGGTCCATATGCGAGAATGGGAATGGATTAGGGTGAAAATGTATAGGTTTTCTAAGCTGGTCCAATCACTAAAACTACTTCCCTAAATTTTGTTGCTTAGGGAATCTGCTAACATATTGGCTTTTGATTCAAAATTTTCTTCCCTGATGATGATGTGTTTGGTAATGGCATGGCCAAGTGCAGGGATGTGACTTGTGAGAGTATGCTTTGATCCTTTGGTTGCATGTTTTGTAAGAATCATGATCAAGGTGATAGCACAGGAGGGAATTGTAACATTGTGTATAGTAGATGTTTTGTATTTCTAAGAGTGGCCCTCATAAGAAAGTTCTGTATTTTATTGTAAGAAATGAAATTACAACCTGATTCTTTTACTTTCTATTCAGTTCTATTTTTAGTTTAGCCTACATATTCAAGCTCACATTAGACTTGGCTTTGCTTTGCATGTTGCACCCTGCATTCACAGATTGGCATTTCTAATTCAAACCAAAATAGATGAGGCAAAACAATTTACAATTATCAATTGCATATAGTAACATGTAACAGGGCTTCATCTTTAACAAGTCTCCACATTTAGATATATAAAAACTTGGGTATTTGACAAATGGTTTCTAATGGATGGAATGATTGCAATTTTAAGCTACACTTTAAAGGAAACTTTGTTACTTCATCCTTCTAGTCTATATTTTGATTATTTTCTTCAAAACTCATAAGCACGTCGAATGAAAAGCATGATCTTCCATAGAACGGATTAACATAAGAATGACAAACAAATCATTCCAAAATAAATCAATCAACATATTGATGCACAATGCTAAACTTGCATGTCCGTCTAAAATCTTACACTCTTTTAATTACCATTTAACTGATGCAGAATCCCAGTCCCACAACCAATAGCCTTTTCAGCTAACTACTTCTCAAACTGTTGCAGTTCAATTCCCCAGGCTGATGCCAACTGCAACAAAAGTTGGTCAGGTGCCACACCTTCCCATTCTTCAGGTGGGTCCATTTCGGAAGAAGCTTCATGTAAATTCAACAAAAGCTCCTTCTTCAGTTCCATCGGAATGCCGAAGACATCGGGTCCATTTTCCAGCACTATTTCTACCAACTAAACAACACAGCAAAAATTAAAAAAAGGGTATGCTTAGGCAAATACCGATGAAGAACGTATTCTAGATGTAGCAGAGCATATCATTTCTAAGAAGAAAATATAAACAAGAAGGAAGAAGAGTAAACAAAGATGTAAATATCACCCAATAAGGAAAATAGCCTATAACAAATCGTATCAGACCAAGAATGTAACTGTAGGTCCTTCATTTTCCTTAACACAAATGTTCATTAACAAATTCTGCCTAGACAAGATCACATCGTACGTAAGGCTTACAAATGGTGATATTGTTATATATTACCAATAAGGAAAGTAGTCTATAGCAAATCTTACATCCATATGTATATATTCCAGCTAAGGTTAATTAATTACACTAGGCTATTCCTCAAAAAATTCACCAATTTCTCCAAGTAGATTCAATAAAATAAAAAACAGAAATGGAATCCACAATTTCATGCTTTAGAAAACTAGTTGGACAATTGCATTTTGATTAAAAGAAAAGGATTCACTATGCCAACAATTGATGGTAAACCAGTTTCATCATCTTAAAAGTGTGAAAATATTCATTTCCTAAATGCACATTACCCAGCTCCCCAAATTAAACTAGAAAGTCATGAAATGCGTGTAAGAGACAGAAATTGACAAATTTGAGCAGCTTACATGAAAAATGGATGTTAACGAAAGCTCATACCTGTTGAATCCAAGACAAACAAATGTCAAACAAGTTCTGCTCTAGTAAAAACTGCCCAATAGCATGAAAGACCTCATTTGCTATCTCATTTGAGAGTTGGTCAACTACAGGTCCCGATCTGTCCATTAGCTTCACAAGCAAAAAATCGTCCCCAGTAGATACAACTTCGGCATAAGCTGTATCCATGTCACCTGCTTGAAGGGCATCCATTGCATTAGTCCATGAAGTCCAGATTGGGTCCCTCTCTTGCCCAATATTATCACCTCCCATTGCTTCTGCAGTCATTTCAGGAATAGCCACCCTGGCCGACCTAGACGCTCCACTGTCCTCCCCAGCCACCCGAATGGCTTCCAAGGTAGCTTCATCTTTTGAGGCTTGCCAAACACTTCTTGCAGAAGGTCCCTCACCAAGCCTAATAGGTCCACCCCCTTTATCCCAAGCTCTCCTACTGCCAGCCTGATCACTCTCATGTTCTGCTTTAGGTGATCTGCCATCAATGGGACCACCACCTGGAGCTCTCCTAGAACCAACCTGTCCATTTCTGGAAGTACCATAAGCCGGAAAATCCCAAGCATCAGAAATGTCAGATCTCCAAGAATTGCCCCTACTGGCCCTGTTACCAGCAGAAAGGCCATCTGATTGAGCAAATCTTTCCCCAAATGGAACCCGCCCATTGTACTTAGCACTGGGGTACTCAGTGAAGCCATTGTACTTGCCTGAGGGTCTATTAGCAGATCCCTCAAACCCCATTGCAAAATTACCCCCTCTCCGACCAGATGATATTGACAAATCCCGTGCCATGTCTTCAACAATTCTCTCAAGGCCCCTAACTCTGTTCTCCAAAGTTACCATGCTATTATGAGACCCACCCATGAAATCCTGCAATATAAGTTAATCATCTAATGATTCGTACAAATCATCAAAAATTGTAAAGAAGCCATTTCCTTGATGAGAAATTCAACAATACCTGCAACATGTTCATAAGATGACCTTGCTGTCTCTCCAGTAGCATTAACTGCCTCTGGATAGCCAACCAATTCCCTTTGTTGTTAATGAAGGATCCTTCAGATTGGCCATCAGTTTTAGAAAAACCAGCACGATTGCCAGACGACTCTCTTTCAACATCAGATGCCCTCATTTTCAGGTCTTTTCCACTTACACCAGCAGTTCCTCTGTCAATGCTTCGATGTTTACTATTAAGAGACCCAGAAAAGTCATCTGACATGTTACCTATGCGATTAGGTCTTCCCCTTGAATCCAAATCATTTGGTCCTAATTCTTCCACATTGTTTGAGTTTAAAAAGTTTTGAAATCTACGAGGAAGGACTACTTCAACTGGCAAATCACCCGAACCCCTAGTCTCAAGTTTCTGAAAAAATTCTGGGTTTAGCACTTTGTCAGTTAAGGCAGGCGCTTTCTTCTTTAAAATTACAACTGCTTTGTCTGAAATGCTTCCACCTTTGCCTTTAGAAAGAGAACCTGCAGTAGGGGACAAACCATTAGATGGACCTTTGGCCGATGGCTCTAATCTCCTGTCACTAGGATTTGAATTTTTTGAGTCCTCAGCTGATGCAGGAGTGTCACCATCTGTAACATTAGTTATAAAGATAATGATTCAGTGAGATAGACAAAATTAGATTTTGAAGAATCATTTAGGAAGGGAAATATTACTGACAAGCTTACCATGAGAAGCTTTCTGGTCATCTGACCCTGCATCTCCTTTTCCTGCAATCTTCTTCCATAACTGCAATGCCTCTGTCATACTATCCCTGACAGGTTTTATCTGCGAAGCCACTAATAAGTAATTAATTGAACACAATGGTTATCCCAAAGAAAGCTTCCCACCTAATGTAAACCTATTCTCTAAATTCTTTTAAGTAAACTCTCAAACATTACAAACATTAACATTGCCAAATTCTAACGTAGGATATTCTCTCTAGAAATTTTTCTTTTTTAAAAAAAAAAAAAAAAACTATTAATAATCTGAACAAATGATCCCAAATATTACTCTTTTTCCCAATTTGTTTCCTTGCCCCAACTATTGAGTATCGACAAGACAATGTGTTGATGTCCAATTAAAAAATGATGGGTTGAGTGATCAACTTTCAAAAATATTGGATTTACATAACAGTGTACCTAGACATAAGAGAAAGATCAAAAGAAAAAAATTCAAGGAATAAAAAAAGTGTAAAAATAAAATCATTGACAGAAGAGAAGCATCTTGAGAAGCTACCTTGTCAAATCGGCAAGCTTCAAGCACTGTTAGTGTGGAAGAAGCTCCATCTGTAACCAATTTGCTTGAATGCATTGCCAAAGCACTTAGAGCATCAGCTGCTGCCTTACGTGTAGCCCAATCTGTACTCGCAAGACACTCATGAATACTTTGCAGCAATGGTTCCACGCTCTGTTGTCCAATAGCTCCCACCTGCAACAAGTAATAAACTTTTACATCCCTGACATTGCTCCTTAGGGAAATCTTAAGCCATATGAAAATTTCACTAGCTAGTTCATACTTCCACTGCATGTAGAATATCCAATCTGCACTATTATTAAAAAGGTGAGTTACAAATTTTGAGTACTTATAAACCGACACAATGTCCTCAAATTTTTCTCATCAAATGCAACAGAAACTCGAATCACAACCCTTTTCTCATCAATCAAAGTGACCTCAAATATCAACCATACCATCATATAAAACAAGATGTCCGATGCCAATACAAAAAACCACACAACAAACCAATAAAAAACATAATTGCTAAAACTAATAACCCCAAAATAAATCAGTCGATAAGCAACAAAATTACTCCTCAAACTGGCCTCGCATATCAACCATACCATGCTAAAACACACAATGTGAAATATCAATACAAATAAACAGACAACCAAAGAGTTCAAAACACAATCTACATTGCCAAAACTAATAAACTCCAAAATAAATCAATCAATAAACCACAAAATTAAGCGCAAACCTGAGACAAACTCCCCACAACAGGCAAAAGAGAAGCCTTGGCCACGAAATTCTGATTATTCAACAACTTACAAATCCTAGGACAAAGCTTCTGAAACGCAGCAACAGGTGGGTCCGAAGCACTTTCCACCATCTTAGCCATACACATAGACGCACCAGATTGCACCCCTTTGTTCTGCTCATTCATTGCATCAAACAAAGGCTTCACAAACAACGTAACAACACTTCCACTATTCTCCTCCTTCCCATTCAAGTACAGCTTAGATAAGGACCCAATCGCGTCGCGACACGAGTCCTTCACCCCAGAATCACTGTCTTTCAACCTCTTAACAATGTGGGAAATAATCTTAGTAACATGAGTAGAACTTAAATCAGTATGCAACTCACAAACAAGACCCAGAAGTCTTAACGACTCTTTTTTCACAGCCGGCTTGGGGTCATTAGAGGACTCATAGAGACAGTTCAAGAGCATGGGAAGGGAGTCCTGGGAGAGGGTTTGAATGGTCTTCTCAAGATCTTCAATGGCGATTTGGTGAGTATCTCGATCGGCCAGTTTAGAGAGAGAGGTGAGGATTTTCTGCTTAAGTTCAACCATGGCCAAGTGGGAAGACAAAGAAGAGGATCTGGAAGAGTTTTGCTGGGTTTGGGATGTGGGTTTTGAGGGTTTTGCGGCTGATTTGGTAGAGGGTTGAGAACTCATTTTGGGTTAGTTTTGTTTGTTACATAAATTTGAAGAAATGGGGTTTAATTGTAACAAGTTAAGAGAAGTTGAGAGAGAAATGAAGAACGTGAATGAGAATGTGACATAGAAGAAAGGAAGTTTTAGAGATGAAAATGCAGAGAGAGAAAGAGAAAGAGAATGATGAAGGAGATTGAGTGAAAGCCAAGGCTTGAAGGTGGGGAATGTGTGAATGAATTGAGATCTGTTACTGTTACTCTTGAGAGTGAGGGAAAACTCCAGCAGAAATGGCGTCTTTTTTATTTGAATAAATACCAGATAGATCTTTTAATCCCTTTTTTTACCTAAATAATTAATTTAATAAATAGTAACTATTTAATTAAAGGGTAATAAACTAATAATATATAATTTGTTGTGATTTGTGAATTTGGTGAAATTAGGTTGACCAAATAAGAATTGGAATAGACAACTGGAGCCCTTGATTTGTGTAGGGCGGATGGGGAGGAGATGAAGTGATCATGGCCGTTGATATGGGTGACCTGTCATTAGATGATGAAGATCAGATGGGTAGTGGGCGCCCAGTTATATACTAGTGGGACCTGTGAGCCCATGGAGGATTAGAGGTGAAGAAATTATAAAAATGAAAAGAGGTGGAGGTGGAGGTGGAGGTGGGTATGAATATTATGTTTTTTGTTAGAATTTATTAATTAATTTTAGAAGATTTTTTGGTTGGTTTAGTGTTTTTATTTCAATGATTTCAGTCTTTTAAATATCTTGTGGATTGATTATTGGTTGTGTGGATTCCACGTTTATGATTTTTGTTTTATTTTTTTCATTAAATATTTATTAGAATTAAAAAAAAGTACATGTTTAATATAGAATTTAATTTCAGTTTTTATTTTTAAAAATAATGGATCCACAAACTGACAAGATGATGTGAATAGAAACGAGTTGAATTGTTTTCAAAAACAGTTTTTAAATATAATCTTAATAATTATATTGTAAAATTTAAAAATGATTAAAAGTCGTTTTCATAGTTTTCCAACAACATTTTATTTCAAACGGTTTTTTAAATATTATATTAAATATATTTTTAAATATTCAAATACAACTCAAAATTTGGGGAGAACGTTATTGTCACACCCAAGGTTTGATGAAATGACACTTTCCCACCTATCAAGTTTTAAAATGATACTTTCCCACCCCTCGTCAAGTTATGTTAGTGTTTTTTGTTAATATTTGGCTGAAAAATGAAAATACGAAAATACCCTTAAATAGTTTATTTTTTAATTAGTTTATTATAAACTAAAATTTAATTAAGTCAAAGTCTTTATTCGATTATTTATTAGTTCAAGTTTAAAGATACTTTTTTTTTTCTTTGTTTATTTAAATAATTAGGAATATTGATTTTTTATATTAATTAGGAAAAACGAAAAACATTATATTACGAAAAACATTATAAATTCAATAAATTATTGAATAATAGTGATGAGATATTGATAACATTATAAATAAATAAAAATTAAGATCATTTAACTTTAAACAATTTGATAACATTGCTTTTAACTTTTTAGGTGGGACTAACTATTTTTTCTTTTTTGATATTTTAGGTAATTAAAAATTTATAAAGTCAAAATTTTAAGGGTACTTTTGTCTTTTCAATAAAATATTAACAGAAAACATAAAACCTAACGAATAATGAGAAAGTGTCATTTTTAAACTTGAATAGTGGGAAAGCGTCATTTCGTCAAACCTTGGGTGACAAAATGTCGTTCTCCCCAAAATTTGAATTATGTTTAAATAGCATTATTTTTAAATCATGAATCTGATTGACTAACAATGGTTTTTGAAACCTGGTGTAATAAATTGAAATTTTATTTAATTTCTTCCAAATTTTATAATTTTTTAAAATTATTAATTATTAAAAAATACTTGAAACAAAAAATTCTAGATATCCACTAAGATTTGTTAAAGATCCTTTTTATATATAAGATTTGATAAAGGAGTTAGTATAATAAATGAAGTTGTATTTCAACTACTGCTGTCCAAGTTGGGTGTACTTAGAAAGTAGCTCCAATAAGGCCCAATCCGGCCCACCTATGATTCAGAGCCCAAAGATAATAGAGTGATAGGAAGTATGACAACTTATTAATGTCAATCACATGAAAAATGGGGTGCGTTTCTACCCATATTCCTAATCATATTCCTCAAATATTGTTATTTTTGTTATTTGAAAAATATTAGTATATTTTTTATTATTTTTAGACCTCTTAAGTTTATTAATTTCATTAAATACCCTCAAAAAAATTAAAATTAACAAAAACACCCCCACTCACCCATATTTGCCAGATTCCGGCAACCACTATTGGTGGTAGCCAAAATCTGTCACAACGGCCTACAAACGATCGACCGAAACTGGCCGGTAATTCATTGATTTGATCGTCAACGATGGCCAAGATCTGGATTTTTTCGGCCATCGACAACTAGATCTGGCCATAGATCTAAGCCTTTTTTTACTAAATCCGTTGTGGATCTAACTGAAAAAGGTCATATCGATGTCCTACCTGCCAGATCCGACCAGTCTGCGTTGTAATGACATTTTTCGATCAGATTTTGACGGTGGTGGCCGGAATCTGGCACTATGGGCGGTGGGGGTGTTTTTTTCATTTTACAAAATTTTTATATATTGGGGTGTTTAATTAAATTAGCAAACCTAGGGGTTTTTTTTTATAAATTTTTAAATTTTATCTCGTAGTACTCCTCTATTCAATAACCCAATATTATTCCCAAAATCCTATCTAAAATAATAAAACAAACAGACTCAATATTGTTACTCCATTTATCATATATTAATAAGGGAGGATTCTTTGCTACATTCTGTATCAAATTTACAAAGGTAAAGTTATATATTTTGAGATATTAGAGTAAACTAAATGTAAAATTAAGACTGGGAACGGTGGATTGAATTGAAGCTATGCTCAACGCTTTGGTTGTCTTTATCCGTTACTATTGAACTATCCATGGGTGGGTGTTGTAAAATTATCTTATAAAATTGATAATAAAAAGATTCATAAATATTGCAATTGTAATTATCTTTCAATATATTAATTTTATTTTATTTTAATTTGATATTATTTTATGATAATTCATAATATTTTTTTTATTTCCGTTGAGACTAACAAATCATTCCTTCAATGTATAATTGTATATATTAATCTGTAACAATGGACCGACGTCCTACGAGCCTACGACAACAAACAGCAAACAATAATGTACAACAAATAATATTTTATATATCTTTCTTCCTGGTTTGGGTTAAGGATATATAATGAGACAAAAATTATCCAATGGTAAGCAAGAAAGAGTCTCGTTCACTGCACTATAATTGGCGTTTGCTGACCAGTCAGATACTTTGCATAAAAAGACACAAACTCTGTGTAAAAAGTTGGATTTCATTAGAAAGAGATTAGATATGTTCTCGAAGTTGACAGTATCTATATCTAACATGTCATATATCGATTTTTAGTATTATATTTCAAACCTGTCTGAGATCTCAATCACGACACACAAAAAAAGATACTGTGGGTTGGTTTGGGCTTCATTTTCTTGTTGTCATCTTCAGAATTTTGCTGTGCAGCTCAAGTTTAGTGTGTGTGCCCTTAATTGCTTGGTGGGTATGCTTCAAAGTTTACATCTTTATGATCTGTTGAGTTGTTCTTTAGATGGTTGAATTCATGGCTTGTTTATGAGATTTGGGTTTTCGAAAGTTGTGAAGTTGTGCTATGTTTTAGATTTAATGAATCTAGGTTGTTCATCTGAGTTTTGTAGCCTTTATTAATTGTGCATTTGGTGACTTTGAGGATTTGATGTCTCTTGTATGGCCTGGTTTTTCTTCAATTTTGGAGCTCCTGTTTTGCTCTGAATGTTGTTTTTTGATGAAGTTTTCTTTGGGAGATCAAGTGGTTGCCTCATTTTCCCAGTTTGAATTCTGGGTTTTATGCAAGGATACCTTGGTTTTAAATAGCTGGTACAATACTTGGTTTTGGTCTTAGCTTTACCGATTTGATTTTCTGGAAGTTGAAAAGTCTTAATGGCTTCATAACATTCAATTTTCTTCTGGTGATGTTGCTTGAAATTAAATGGGCGTTTGCAGGAATTCATTTAATTGGTGCTATTTACTGTTGGTTGGTAGCTAGAATGTCCTTGGATGTTTATGATCTTAAATCTATTTCTGCAAAATATTTTTTGTTTTTTCTTATTGTTACTGAAGATTTGATTGTTGTTGGTTTGTCGATTTCGCTGCCCAGTTTCCTGCCAGACCCAGCTCTGGTAATCAAACTTACCTGTCCTGGGTTCCCTTTTCTTTGAACATTTTCATTTTTGTTGTCTTTCTACCGGATCTGCATTTTCCAAGTAATTGCAGTATAATTTTCAAATGAATATACAAGTGTAAGCACTTAAAAGTATCAACTAGGAATCATCTACCTTTTTCCCTTGAATTTTTAACGTTCTGCTTACTAGTCTAACTCTATGCTAGGTTGGGAAAATACTATCTCTAATCTGAAGAATATGAGCTACACATTTCAGCCAGAAAATATAACTCACATCTATATGCATTGTGTGGTGCTATTGCTTTACAGGCTTTTGAAGTCCTTTTGACTACGATCTTTCTCCGGCTAGCTTTGAGGGATAAGAACTTCATAATTGAAGATATCTTCTCAGATTTTTTATTGAGACAAAAGAGAAACATGGTTCAGAAACTAGAAGCTATCAAGGGCGGTGGAGGATCCATCAGAGTTGGCACTACCGGAACAATCAGTGCTCTGATGACTAGGGAATTGGAATCAGTTAAATCTGTATCGCAGACACCAAGATCTCATCCTGTTTCAATTCCCTGTGGCACAACTTCTACTAAAAAACTACAACCAAGAAAATCATTAGATGGAGCAAGTACAAGTGGCAGCAGCAATAACATTAACCACAGAACTCATGAAATTCCCCGGAAAACAAAAAGCTATAATAAAGGTACCCATCGAATCCCAATGCTGGCCTCTGATAACGTTTCTTTGGATAGAACTCCTAATCAGCAGAAAAATGACAAGAAAAGATCTAATATTGTGGAAATTGTGGACATAAAATGTGGGCACCCAGAAAGAGCATGGGCTAGCCCTATAACTAATAAGCTCAAGAAACTTGGATTCTCAAAATTATCCGAGAGTACTATCTAAACTTGCAGCTTCTTCACATCAGACTTCAGGCTCCTGTAACTAACACTTGAAATCCCAATTGGCCGACTGTTTTCTGAGACTTCCACCATAGAACATATGCTCGGTAGCCTTTTACCTCTTCCCTTTTTCTTCTTTTGGGTTGTCAACGCAGACACAATAGTCGGTCTAGGATGGCTACTAGAGGAAGCAATATCTTCAACATGAGAGTGTGGCTTCTGTGAGCTACCTTGGCTGCTTACTTCAAGCCTGCTAAAGTACTCAATTTCTTTCATTATGAGGGATCCAACAGTGCCTCTGGTGCCGATTTCTACAGGAGTGTGTGCAGCCATTTTCTTTGGAACTTCTGCAGCAATGTTGCTGGATTTATACCTGTTTTGTCTAGTTTGGGTGAATGAGTCAAGAAAAGATAGTGGATGTGGATGAAGACTGGAGTGTTTTTGGGTCTAGTCTTGGTGGGGAAGTTGCTTTTTGAGTCTGAAGCACTAGTTGGACTGGAGTCTTATACACATGTTTTCACATGACTTCTTTACCTCATGTTCTTTATCCAAAGCTATATGGTGACATGGTCATTGTATTCATGTGTCTGCAGCTACAACAATTACATTTCTAACAAGAGTAGTGCTTCTTTATTATCATTTACTCATTTGTAAACGTTCGGTGCTGCACATTTAAGCTGCATTAAGAACACTGTTTACTCAGAAATTGATGGTCATTTATGTGAAATCTGAATTCCCATATTGATATCCTACCCAACTAATCTGAGATAAAAAGTAAACAAGGTACAAGAGTTAAAATGAAGGATGAGTAAATTCATGGTCTTTTTTAGTAAACCTTTTGTTAACTTTTCTTGTCTTGAATGGCAAGGGAAAGGAAGAAGGTGGGTGACCTTTGATGGAGCAACTTGTGAGCTTTTCAGGTATGGCCAAGGGCATGGCAGAAATTAATTAGAATCTTCTCAGTAGCGTTTCAAATATTTTGTGTTGTATGCTTATTTCTATTCACATGTGGTCAATTTTTTTATTAACGTGATATTAGTATATATATATATATATAAAGAAAATCCTTTGTGCATAACCAATGAAGAATGTGAAAAGATTAATTTTTTTTTTTTTCTGGTTTCTTACCAGCTTGGTAAGGAAAGAGTAAATGAAAATAAAGAACCACCTCCCAATATTAATGGTGGCCGTTAAATTTGTTCATGTCAATACTAATGAAAGCAGAAAAAACAGGTGAAATTTGTCGGGAAATAAGTTCCTCTCTTGACTTTTGGTGAAGGATTGGAACCTGTGGCAGAAGCAAGATTTTGTGATCCTATTCATCTTTTATGACTGTAAACAACCAGTATTTAAGTTTAAATAGTATCAACTTGGTTGGATTAAGGATTTAATAATTGGTATCATAGTGGTCTCGTTATATGATGTAATAGAGTGTGACAACTTCACAAGGACACGAGGACGGGAGACCTATAAGGTAGATGTTATTGTGATGGCTTGAGGCGGTGACGTTTTATGATTAAATAAAGCGACATTGTTTTGAGCAGTTGGGGGAGTTGATTATGACCGTTGATTGACTGAAGATCCAACTGTTGGAATGAGTCCCTTGGTCAACCATATAAAAGCAAACCTACAAGGCAGATTAAGGAACACAACATTTGATATCTCTCTCTTCTTCATCGAGCAAAATTAAGGTCTATTAGGGTTTACGAATTTTGTGGACTGAATCTTGTAACTGGTGATTGAGTGGCTGGTTTCAAACGTATTTGCATACATAGATCATTAGGGATTCTAAGGATAGGGTCTGTGGAGTGAGTTACAGATTCTAGAAAAGGATTGAGGAGTTTGATACACTGTGTAATCTGAATCAAGTTCTTGATAAATTTTAATACAGCGAGCTCGCTTGTTTCCCAAGCTCAATGTGAACGTAGTTTGCTCGAACTGAGCAAGTGAATAACAATAAATCTTGGCGTTCTTTTGTGTGTGTTGGATCTGTTTGGTTTTTGAATTTATCGTCTGTTTTTGGTTTAATTAAAACATGAGATACAACAATACAGAATATATCATATCTCACCTCGCTATCGAAAGAAGCTCAATAAATACTTTTTTTTTTTTTTTTTTTATGAAAAATGCTTGCATGAAACTGAAAAACATATGGGTTTGATAATATTATTGGGTTTTGCTTAACTTTTAATTGTGAGATATTTTTAAGAAAATGATTAGAAACTCGCACAACCCATTGATAATATCAACCATAAAAATTGACAAGTATATAAATCTAACGAGTAAGGCTATGAGTGTAACTAAACTTGGGCCTGAATCATAATGAATCAACGGTCCAGATCATTCTTCTCAGAAGCCTTTGGAAATATCAGACACACCAGATTATTTCTTTCTCTAACATTCAACTAAACACACGTGTAGATAGAAACCGAAGTGATAAAGCCAGCTTCAAAAGAATCGTGGTTTAACAGATAAAAATCAAGAGTTATGGCTTCAATCTCATGCACTGTAACTCACCTACCCTTTACTTCTAAACCTTTGAATTCTCAATCTTCTTTCCCAAAATTCAGTTCCCAGTTTCTGGGTACCAAAAACAATCTCAAATGGTTTAGACCCCTCAAAATGGGACCCTCCAATGGGTCCAGAGCTCAGTGCTGGTTTAAGTTTGGCAAGAATGGTGTTGATGCTGAAGGTGCTGGCGTTTATGGAAGCCAGTCACGTGATGACTTTGATAGAGATGATGTTGAGCAGGTTCAGTCTCTTTTATTAAACATGCATGTATATCTTTATCTGTAAATGTACTTACTCTTTTGGCTTGGTTTATGTTCTTATGTGTATTTTTGGATAAGGGTGTGTTGAAATCAAGATAGTTGTTGTAGGTAGTAATTATTTAATTTGATTTGAGAAAAAGAATAGGGGGTTTTGGAATGGTTTTACTTGTGTTGATCTAAATTTCTGGTAATCGTATTTATGGCTTGCTTTTATTGTTTTTTACTAGAAATCTGGTATTTGAACTACGGAGTTTATGTTCTAATGGCGATAGAAGTTGGATTTGGTTTGGAATTAAGGGATTGGTTTAAGTTATGAGTGAAGCTAATCCCTATTAGTATCCCAAATTTTTCATCCAAGTGACATTCCTACTGTCACTTGGATGAAAAATTTGGGACATACTTTGTGGTGTGTACATTAAGTTAAAAGTTTAGCACAATAACAGCTTATTGGAAACATACATAAATTGTGTAGAAGCCAGAGAAATGTAGCAGAACAGGTGTGAGCAAATCCGGGTAACTTGCCTGAATGAGCTTAGTTAGAATTCTTTTAACAAGAAAATCATTAGATGGAGCAAGTACAATGGCAGCAGCAATAACATTAACCACAGAACTCATGAAATTCCCCGGAAAACAAAAAGCTATAAAAAGGTACCCATCGAATCCCAATACTGGCTCTGAAACGTTCTTTGGATAGAACCCTAATCAGCAGAAAATGACAAGAAAAGATCTAATATTGTGGAAATTGTGGACATAAAATGTGGGCACCCAGAAAGAGCATGGGCTACCTATAACTAATAAGCTCAAGAAACTTGGATTCTCAAAATTATCCGAGAGTACTATCTAAACTTGCAGCTTCTCACATCAGACTTCAGGCTCCTGTAACTAACACTTGAAACCAATTGGCCGACTGTTTTCTGAGACTTCCACCATAGAACATATGCTCGGTAGCCTTTTACTCTTCCCTTTTTCTTCTTTTGGGTTGTCAACGCAGACAATAGTCGGTCTAGGAGGCTACTAGAGGAAGCAATATCTCAACATGAGGTAGGCCTGTGATGCTACCTTGGCTGCTTACTTCAAGCCTGCTAAAGTACAATTTCTTTCATTATGAGGGATCCAACAGTGCTCTGGTGCGATTTCTACAGGAGTGTGTGCAGCCATTTTCTTGGAACTTCTGCAGCAATGTTGCTGGATTTATACCTGTTTTGTCTAGTTTGGGTGAATGAGTCAAGAAAAGATAGTGGATGTGGATGAAGACTGGAGTGTTTGGGTCTAGTCTTGGTGGGGAAGTTTGCTTTTGAGTCTGAAGCACTAGTTTGGACTGGAGTCTTATACACATGTTTTCACATGACTTCTTTACCTCATGTTCTTTATCCAAAGCTATATGGTGACATGGTCATTGTATTCATGTGTCTGCAGCTACAACAATTACATTTTAACAAGAGTAGTGCTTCTTTATTATCATTTACTCATTTGTAAACGTTCGGTGCGACATTTAAGCTGCATTAGAACACTGTTTACTCAGAAATTGATGGCATTTATGTGAAATCTGAATTCCATATTGATATCCTACCCAACTAATCTGAGATAAAAAGTAAACAAGGTACAGAAGTTAAAATGAAGGACGAGTAAATTCATGGTCTTTTTTAGTAAACCTTTTATTTAACTGTTCTTGTCTTGAATGGTAAGGGAAAGGAAGAAGGTGGGTGACCTTTGATGGAGCAACTTGAGAGCTTTCAGGTATGGCCAAGGGCATGGCAGAAATTAATTAGAATCTTCTCAGTAGCGTTTCAATATTTTGTGTTGTATGCTTATTTCTATTCACATGTGGTCAATTTTTTATTAACGTGATATTAGTATATATATATATATATAAAGAAAATCCTTTGTGCATAACCAATGAAGAATGTGAAAGATTAATTTTTTTTTTTCTGGTTTTTACCAGCTTGGTAAGGAAAGAGTAAATGAAAATAAAAACCACCTCACAATATTAATGGGTGGCTGTTAAATTTGTTCATGTAATCAAATGAAAGCAGAAAATACAGGTGAAATTGTCAGGAAATAAGTTCCTCTCTTGACTTTTGGTGAAGGACTGGAACCTGTGGCAGAAGCAAGATTTTGTGATCCTATTCATCTTATGATAGTAAACAGCCAGTCTTTAAGTTTGAATAATATCAACTTGGTTGGATTAGAGATTTAACAATTGGTATCATAGTGGTCTCGTTATTGATGTAACTCTGTTTAAAAACCGGACCAGACTGGTCGGTTGGACCGGGAACTGGCAGTTCTCTGGTCTGGTTTAAGTCTTAGGGGGGTTTTTGAAATATTTTAAAATTATGAGTATTTTTATAAGGGTATTTGGAGAATATCAAAAGCTTAGGGATTAATTGGTAATTTTATTAGGGCATTTTTGGAATAAATAAATATTTGGGGACCAATTTGATTTTTTAAGAGAATTTTTGTAATATATTAAAATTTAAGGGGTTAATATGTAATTTTTTAAAATTAAATATTGCTGACGTCATCGATCTAACCGGTCGATCCAACCAAACCATGATCCGGACAACAAAACGGTTTACCCTCATGTCCGAGTTTTAAAATAATGGATGTAATAGAGTATGACGACCTCACGAGGAAGGTAGAGAGTGTGTCATATCCCACTTCGCATCGAAAGAAGCTAAAAAATACCCTTTTTTTTATGAAAAATGCTTGCAGACTAAAAAACATATGGGTTTGATAATATTATGGGTTTTGCTTAAATTTAATTGTGAGAATTTTTTAAGAATAATAATAATATTTGAAACTCGCACAACCTTTTATAATGTCACCATAAAATTTGACGAGTAAATAAATCTAAAAATTACACTTTCTATTACTTAAACTCTTATTAAAGAGCATATCTATAAAAATATGAGTTAACAGAGTTTTTCTCTTTTAAATATAAATTAAAAAATAAGTTTGATTAATAAACTACGAGTCTATATCTGAAGAGTTAAATTTCACTCTTTATTTAATTTTAATTAATAAACTACAAGTTTGTATGCATTTTACTTTTTAATTCTCTTTCCCATTAAATCTTTTCTTAAAATAAAATATATCTTCATTAAATTTCAAAAGTCTATTGGTTTGAATAAAAATTTGCTATTTATATTGAAAATTAATGAAGATACTCTTATTTATTGAAATGTGTTCTTTAAAATAAAAAGTACTATTGAAG